TCCTTATCAAAATTTCAGGACATTCTGATTAATTAAATGGTTTCGTCGTATCTATTTGATTTAAGCAATCGTTTGCTATGAAAAGTTGATGAGATATAGCTAAAATTCATAGTAAAATAAGGAAAAAGCGAATTCCAATGTCTGATAATTTCGTTTCAACAATAAATCATTTTATAAATATTTTATTCTTAACCTATCGAACAATCACAAAGCATTCTGGAATAATGCCATTTAGTAACTATGTCTCTGACTTAAGAAGAGAGTGATTTTGTGAAAGGAGTTACAAACGAATATCGCACATAGAGTATCAAATTAACGCAACAACTAATTCAAAACAAAAGAATTTATTGATCACAAATTTGAATTGAAGCACGTATACATTAATTATAATAATCAATATACTCTATTGACCAAATAATTGATTTAAAGCGATTATCAAAAGTATACAAAATAATGATAAAAATAAATTCAAAAAATAAAAAACATAAAATAACAAAATATTGTTAAAAAATATGTGTTGTGGCAGAGATTGCTATACTGATTAGGGGAAATCACTGCGTACGTTGGCACGGAGTGTCAACTGAGGGCTTTCTTCACAAGTAAAGCAGAAAAGACGCCAGCTGATCATAACAGGGTTGCTTTGACTTAAATCTAAACAACACAAAGGTTTCAAAACATTAAGCAAAAGCAATTCGATAGCATTTTTAATCATTCCAGTACCTGTACTCCAATGAAACAAGCTAGCAGTTTAATCTTTTCTTAAATCGTTTAATAATGTTTAGTATGAAAGTGTAATAATATACTCCCGTCATTAGGCTTGTACATTGAGAAAAGCACATGGCTTCACTGTAAATGATATACTAGCATATTTGATTCAGAACAACCTACTACCGTTTGATAACTTACAGTTGTGTAAAAAAGAGAATTTCCTGAAGGTTATCTGACACGGCAAAGATGCTTAAAGTCGTTTTCGAAGCCAAAATTTTATATATTAATAAATGTATTCAGAATAAAGAAACATCCTTAAATGTGCTTTGATCCATTTCGTTTAAAACAGGTCTTGAACCAAAAAAGTGCATCTAGTTAATTACAAGTCAAAAGGCAGACGTAAATGAAATGGAATTTTAAATTTGAAAAAAAAGCCCTGCTATATTAAAAAATCAATTTAAAGCAAATAGTTTGCATCAATAAGCATTTGTTTTATGAAACAACGGCTATTTCGTTTAAATAGTGATTGCATAAATATTTCATGAGGATTTTATTATAGTTTCCCTTCCTCGAATTTTACGAATTATCATTGTAATATTTTACAATTCACTTCTTCATAACAAATCATGAATCAGTTGAAAACAATAACAACAGAATTTGGCGACGATTTAGTAACGTTGAATGCAACCTGTTTGTAATGTATCATAAACCTTTAATGCAATATGATCTCTATTTGCATACCTCTTTTTGCACACTTTTGGGTGAAATGCATTTGCTTTGAATAATCATATTAACACATTGATTATATAAGTCGGTTTCCAGTACCTTATCAAAGATTTAAGACTGCCATAACAATCCAATGGTGTCGCTTTGTAAGGTGATAACAGAAACTTCATCCGTGCCATTCGATTCAAGTTTTTGTACGGTCAACAAGTTAAAGGTTTCATAGAATATCTGATACATGTTTTGTTTTAAATCAAACAAATCGTTTGCATCATGAATCATTTATGTTAAATAGATCAATTTTAATTTTGATATTGATTGCATTTTATTTTTATGAAAATTTCAGTGCAGTTTGTCATTCTCCATGAACAATTTATATATATTTAATAACAGACCTTTCATAATATCTTCTAATCATTTTAGCAGATAAAATCATTTAGGATCATCCTCTCGATACATTAAATCTATACGGGTTATCCCTTCCTTATCAAAATTTCAAGACATTCTGATCAATTGAATGGTTTCGTTGTATCTATTTGATTTAAGCAATCGGTTGCTATGAAAATATAATGGGACTGAATTATATAGCTAGAATTTATAGCATGATATAGCAAAAAGCAAATTCTAAATGTCTAACACATTCGTTTTAACAATAAATCATTTTATAAACATTTTATTCATAACAAACTCACTAAGCTTTCTAGAATTATTCATTTTATCACGTCCTTGACTTACAAAGAGACAAAGAGGGTAATTATGTAAAAGGAGTAACGCACAAATCTAGCACACCGAGAAACAAATTAACGCAACAACAAATTCAAAACAAAAGAGTTTAAGAATCGCAAACGTATATTAACATTATAAAAATCAATAATCTCTATTATTCTAGATAGCTGATATTAATCTACTTATTCAATCTGGTCGACATTCATGGTAAGAAACTTAATTATAAACTACCAAAGTACATGTATAATATATTCACAAGAAAGGATTACTATCAACAGGACCTACCACTCGACCGAAGCAAAAACGGGGCGTTATTTTTTACAACAGAAATTGAAATCATACAAAATACCTTAAAAAGGGTCGCTAGGACTCGTGTGTAGGGGAAAGAGGCTGGATGCCGGGGAGAGGGATGGAGTTCAATATTGGCACAATATGAGGAAGGAGATATTTACCGTCGACATCAGAACAAGATATATATGTATAAGGGAAGAGAGCCTTTTACAGCACGCAGCCCTAAATAACGTTGAGACACACTCGGTCATCAAACAGAAACTGAACAAAGGCAATAGAGCACAGGGCGGAAAGAGGAGGTTATATTGCTTAGTAATAAATACAAGTATAAACAAAAAAGGACTAATTTATAAGACCACTCACGGACCCTGGTATGCACATTATTTACTTTTGTCAAACTATAATTTAAAGTTGCTTTTCAAGCCTTTCGAAAAAAAAAACCTAATTATATTAGTAAATAAAATCCAGCATATTTTTTATAATCTCCTCAATTAATAATGCTCTAAGTACAATTCCTTTAAACAACATATTATTGCGCAAATACTTCTGGTGATATTATGACTCTTTTGAAACAGAAATAAAATAAAATATGTACACATTTACAAAACATCTAACTTTTTAAACAAAATATTTAGAGTGGCGGCATGGCCGAGTGGTCGCGTCGGACTAGTAAATCTGAGAATTGCTGGCCACGTGGATTCAAACCTGGTCAGGGGCAAGCTGTTGTGTCTGTTAGCACGTAACTTATTAGAACTGGTTGTTTCAAGGAAAAAATCGAGAGTGTTTCAATTAGCTTAGAACTTCCAACACAACACAATCAATCTATAATACAATTAGTATAAACTAAGCTTAACATCGACTTTGACATATGTTGTAATATTGGATGCATTCACATGGATGAATCACCAACAAGCATAGAAAGAAGAATTTCGTTTACACATTCTCTTAAATAAAAACGTTGCTAAATCGTTTAAGGCAAATTAAATCTAGCAAGATGACATGACATATGAGCAATTAAAATGAATATATTAAGCAAACAACTTCAAAATAAATATATTAAAAGACTTGACGTTGATTATCATACAAGTGCATTTAAAAAAATAAAATATTGAAAAAAAAAACGTTTAAATCTTAGTACCTTTACATATTTTCATTCGGTTTAATAACAATTGTTTGACAAAGAAAGAAAGAAAAAGAAGAAAAGGGGTTATAAAACTGTACTACAGTTTCGATTCGATGCATAAATTCGGGTACAATTAAATTTTCACACATGAATATCTTTTAAAATGCAAGGATTCAGTGGATTTCAATAAATGACATATAAGTGTACAATCATACCGCCTTGTTTGTGAAAAAAATAAAGATGTCTTTCCTTTTACAAAGAGACAACATGAATAACATTATTTTCATCAGAACATTTTGATAACACCATTTAAAAAGCACATACATCGTATATTCAGCCTAATAACATTATTTTGTTATAAACATTTTTGAAGTGGTCCTTATACTGATAAACCGTCTGTGTTATCACTTGAGTTTTACTTTGATTCTTTATTTAACTGTTATAAAAGGTTATATTCAATTATTCAATTCTATGTCACTAATTCTGTTTTACAGCTTTCTACAGAGAATACACTATATAATTATCAAACACTTAACTGCATTAACATAACAAAGTTCAACAAATATGTTTCCAGATGTTGTTCAGAACAAAACTTCCTATCTCTTACATCAAATTGCTTTCTACAAAATATTCACAACATTTATTTAATAAGCTTGTTGAAAACTGAGTGAAAAATAATAAAAATACATTGACACTCTCCAAGAGGACTCATCATTTCAAACAATCATTCCGATAAACAGTGCTATATTATATTGAGAGATCAAATATAAATTTACATATACTGGTCTTTATAAAGCATGTCATTTACTTCGAATTTTCATACGTAACCTTGTTTTAACCTACATAATCTATTTCTAGTTAAACAATTGAACAATAATTTAAAGTCAAAATCGAGAATGATTACTAATTAAAAAATTATTATTATTATCAAAACCTATTCTTGGAAGCATTTAAAAGACAAATACAAACTTACACTTAATGTTTAAATGCATACATTTAAGCATATAGAATGGTTGAAAATTTAAGGCAAAATTTGTTATATCTGTCATGTATATAATGTCTATCCTAAGAATGTTCATAAAGTTAATTTTAGTTATAATTTACGAAATTCCAAAATGATTAACTGAATGACTACTTCTTCAATGGTAACTTTCAATAGATGTTCATTATTTTCAGCTCAACCATTCTATCAGCTGAAATATGTCAAACAGGGCATAACGACTGTGGAAATGAAACAAACATCGTCAGTACTACTATACATTTCTGCTACACTTAAAATAATATATAAAATAGTCGACATTTTCGTACTGTGATGTATCTTACCATGTCATTCCTTTCGTTAAATCGTTAAATAATGTTTAGCTGTTTTTTTTTGTTTTTTCTTCCCAGTATTGTTTCTTAATGTTCAAATTTCAGTTTCACTTTGCTGTTACGGAAAATTTCTTTTTACCTTCATCACTACGCGGCGAATAGAATAATGACGACCCCAACAAAAGTACCAAGTTATACCATTAGCGGGCGAAGAGTGATTCCCCGATAAGTATAGTCCATTCAAATTGCTATAATGACAAGCTTTGTACCACCATGCTCCTCCAAACCGTTGAGCACAGTTGTCAGACCATACGTCGTTATCCCTGTCTTTAGTCGAGAACATATTTCCATCATGGTAACTAAGACTATCACCACAGTTTCCGGAAAAGCCTTTTACATGCAATCTAAAACTTGAATCTTCGTCGTCAACTCTGAACGTGTCATACTGTGCATAAGCATGTGTAGGTGATACGTCTTCAAATGCTTCCATTTCAATTCTCAAAGAACTGTCATTAGTAGTAAGCCGATATATATTCTCAAGGCCAAGCCAGTACTCTCCTGATATGTTACCGAATCCACAAACATAATCTGACCATATTCTGTAGAAGTTTTCTGACCCATCCAGTCGGTGTTGTATAACTGTCCATCCACCATTTTTCATATCGCACCATGTCTGTATGCTTAACCTGCCGACGGGTTCTATTGTATATATACCGTCTTCCTTACATCCTTTTTCAAAAAGTGCAAGACAATCCTTTTGTTCTGTAAATCAAACATGCAAACTAAATTAATGAAATAAATAAATAAATAACTTGCCCAAAAGACCTTACCGATATCAGTATCAACTTGTTAAGAAATAGCATCACATTTCGCATTAAACAAAATAAAATAATTCAAAATGTTTCGATTGCAAACAAAGAAATAATCAACCCAATTCTAAACTTCCAATATTCTAATTAATTGGACTTCTGTGTAATGTTTATACAAGTCTACCATGTAACAAAGATTGTTTAGTAGTTACATAGAATACAATGTCTTTTGACAGGTTAAATAAGGTCGCGTGGTACATATTTGCAGAAATAAATATTGCTGTTATTGTTAATCGATTCGATAGCTAATTTTCCTAATTTAATGTCACTACGAGAAACTGCGACTTTATGCGACTGTTTGCAACCTTAAGCGTCCAAAACTTCCGCAAGTTTAATAGTTAAGATGTAAACACCTTGTTTGCGTATTCAAAGGTTGAGCTTAAAAGGCAAAAAAACCAAAATTTTTGTCTGAAGATAACATTTACTAAAACAAAACAGGCAAATAAACGGTTGAGACATGCAACAAAGGGGTTTAAAAGAATATAAAAGAATCTGTGCACCAGAAGTCCAAACATCTAAACAAAATCTTCAGAAGTGGGAACTTAGCAGCAGATCCATGTCAGTGTCCAACGGCGGTAAAACCGAGGAAAACTTGTAATAGAATCAGATTAAATCTACATCATTACCCTGATACATTTGTTCAAGTTTGACTTCTCAATGAACCTTTTGTAATTTTCATGACTAGTAGATATAGATATAATACAGAGAAAAACAGAATCCCTAATGAAAGCCCAACACGGAAATATCGAAATGTTTCAGGCTCGGTTTAATTGAGTATGTTCATGGACGGTACTGGAAAGTGCAAGTTACAGTCCACGCCCCCTAGAACCGGCTTAAGCAGAATTAAACATTCAAACACGAAAATGTGGAAATTTTGAATTCAGAAACATCCGCAGATGTGTTCATACAGCGGTAATCATGGAACCAAACGTACTCAAGTTAAAACAGTACATCTGAAGATCAAATTAAAGAGATGAGTTGATACTTTTTCAGTTATGTAACTATAACAGCTTAGTTAAAATTTCATATCATTAATGTTTTTTAATGTTTGTGTTTGGAAGAAGAAAAAACAGCACATACATTAGTTCGTAACATTGATAATTGTTTTATCTCTTGTTTTTTCTGTCTGGATGATATTTTACCCTTCCTTTTATTAATAAATAAATATACAGTAGAACTCCTATGAGTCCATCTTCGATTAGTCGATTTTCTCGATGTGCCAAATGAAATTAAATTCCCGATTTTTCCTCCTATATATTCCTTATAAAAAATCTATACATAAGTCGAATAAACTAATGTACAATGTATACATAAATTAATTTAAACATATATTATAGTAAAAGCAACACAAAATATTTGCCACATCCCTCTGAAAATGGAAAGTAAACAATTAATTATCTAAACTTACCAATAACAGGACGGTATGCAAGCATTGACCCAGGCTCCTGTTTATACGAAATCGTTCCCGTAACAAAATACGTATCACACAGTCGAAATCGTCTTCTATAGACCATAACATTTATGTGAGATTTGTTATTTCGGAAATGATTCAAACACTCTGTATAACTCACATCTGATATAGATGTTAAACGCGATTTTGTCTCCAGTCCATGATTATAGATAATTGTTTCATTTTGAGCATCTATCAACACATTTGTGAACAAATGAAACAGATAATAACATATAATCCTGCAAGCATGCATTCTGTTCAGCATTCTAAACAGCATTTGCCTTCAGTCACTTACATTAAGTCACATTTTGCTAATAGCCATTACATGATACATGCTTAAATACTAAATGCTAAGACATAAAACGTAACGCGTTTGTAATCAAGCCGGAATGCAACTTTCTAGGCACGCTTCTACAGCGTTTTTATTATCAACTGTAAAGCTGCGAATGGCGAAACAAATAAAAACCATATTAACATTGTGATGTCTTTTCGTCTATGTGAACGGAACACACTTTTCGTCACACTGGCTTAATTGTCTGTTATTTGGAAGCAACCTATATATAATGCATGACTCTTTCAATTTTATGGAATATTAAATAATTTGTAATCTATGGATACATTTAAGTTTAGCATACTAAATTTTTGTTTGTGCACACACACACACGCGCGCGCGCACGCGCGCGCATGCACGTACGCTTTATGCTATCCATTTCCAATCATGTAACTTTGTTTTGTAATTGCCTGAACAGTAGATAATCCGTTGAACGTATAATTTCGCGTGTGCTATGCTTGTTTTCTGATTATGATCAATAGGGAAACATTTTTCATTTGATGATATCATATTTGTTGCTTTAATTCTTGAAAAGAGCCCTTCTAATAACAAACCTTTAATTGTTTCATACAAAACGTTCTTTTCTCGTTAACCGTAAGATAAATTTATTTTTATCCATACAGGTGTCCTTTAAGGCATACAACTGACCTATGTTGCAATCAACGGTAATATTTGTTCAAGACATTGGACTTATATAAGAAAAAAAAACGAGACTTTTGCAAAAAAAAAATGTTTTCGTTCGGTCAAATATTAATTCCTTCCTCCAGCAGTACGCAGAAAATATTAAAAATCACCTCACATTTTATTATAAACAAAAATGAAACGAATTGTAATTATAGTTATCAATGCCATAAACATATTAAATGGTTGAAAAACAATGTATGGTAATTTACAAACCCGAGATAAAAAAAATCTGATTGCAAATGACAACTTCTAAATGCGGTTTGCCAATATCGGAACATGCTTTGAAAAGCTACTTGTCTACTATTTAAAACTGTAGGTGTTTAAACTAATGCATATCATTATACAATTCAACAATATTTTAAAGAAAGCTGCTTACGATTTTAATAAAATTAAAAAAATGATAAACTGTTCAATTGTTACGAAATGACACAATGTTAAAATATGTATGATCTAGATTGAAGGTGGTTTTCGTTAAAAGCCTTTTATGTAAATTTAGTTGCTGACTTTTTAAAGACTTGGAAATTGAATTACATTCTATAAATAGACATTGGAACTTTTTTCTCCTGTTATACAGGAATTTGAACATGTGTATGTTTCAGGAAGATCCTCAAGATTATAAACTTATTTTGGAATGACCAATGAGATTCCCTGATCTCAGTTTGTAATTGTTTAATGATCAATGCAAATTTTACATGTATTCAGTTCTGCTCTGTCAATTGTACATGAAGTCAAGCTTTTTGATCGGAAAAACAAAAACTATGTCTGAAATGCTTGACTCTGTTAATGTACCATTTCGATGTACTCACACCATTGGTTATATTTAGCTATACTATCATTTGAACCGTACGGATGGCAACGTATTTAACACCGATACCACATATTGGTCACCTGTTCTCCACCTATTTACTGCAGTTAAGAAATTGACGAAAGGTTAGCGAATGCGTAAACTTCTTATCTGTGATTGACCTGTTTTCTCCTTTACGTATAAAGTTATAGCGCGCATCTTAATGAGCGGAAAATTCACATTTATTCTTTAGTCAATTTTGAGATCCATATGGGGTTCCGCCATCCACCCCACTCCCCGTGTTTGATGTTGTTTAGTCTCAAGAAGTTGGTAAGTATTAAAATAACAAGAATAAAGATCAACAAGGCAAAGGCTACGTTCACAGGACGCCGCCCCCGGACACACCCAAGTAGGACACCCAGAGGGTACCAAACAAAAACCTGGAGTAAACTGAAAGTAGCAGTTACTAGTATGTTATTGTAGTTGATAAAGATGCAAGTATTTAAGGTAACAATCGGGAAGTTGGACGTATATTTGGTGGGACAGTTTACAAACAAACCAAAAAAAGGATAGAAAACCGAATTAGTGAGTACATACATAATAACAGGTAATAAAAATTAACGTATTTACTTTCAGGATCACTTTGATTGAATGAGAGGCTTTAATGGAAAAAGAAAATTATTTAAAAATTATATTTAATAATGTGCATAACGAAATACAGATTTCATTTTGCATAATATTTACATTCATACACAAATAAAAAGGACAAGGCGAATAGCTCGAATCAGACATTTTACTTTTGGTTTAGTCTTGAAAGCTGCATGCCGGCAAATTTGCCTAAATAATTGAAAAAGATAAAGCCTTAATAAAATTCAAGAAAAGTAAATAATAGACAATTCAAGTAATAATTCAATTAGATGTTACGTGCAATAAATAACTGGTTTTACAATATTTATAAAGATATTTTTACTGCATGACTTTGGCAGTAAGGAGTATGGCTTTTTCCCATTTATTTCATTTAAAGTGCCGTTTATAATGTGTAAATAAATGCATTTGTTCACTTGAAAATAGTTAACTTTTTTTAAAAAATGTTGTTTTTGTTTTTCAAAATGTTTATGAAAATTAGCCTAGCCTTGGAGGCATGCTGCTTTAAGGGACACCGACACTATAAGGCACCTTAATCAAAACACTGATCTTCCGTTAGAAGGCTTGATAACAGTTTTACATGCAAAATTCCATAATCCCTGGCTAACAGTTTAATGTTAGCTACCTGAACCCCTTTTTCATGGAGGCCTTAAAAGATAATCTTCATCATTATGATTTTCTCTGTAATTATCTATAACATTTTATATTGTAAATATGTAGGTCGTGATAAAAGAAGACGAAATATAAGTAAGGATGTATCTATTATATAAGTGTTTACACACAACCAAGCAGTGTGTGTATTACGTTTATTGCACATGTATATGATAACAAAAGCAATGAACTAATAAACGTATTGATACATGTTACATGATAATATAACAAAACAATCTATGTGATTTAAAAAAAATACATCATTTCCATATGACTCTATGAATATATCTAGACTATCAAATCAAACATCATTAAAGAGCGTTATTGTTTAATACCAAACATAGGACAATACCTTGTTTAAAACTGGTAATAAACATGCATTGTCGTATTATAAATGTGTATGTCTTATATACTATGACTGAGATATTGATGAAATAATTTGCATATTTTCATTTTCTGTATTTTCACTATCAAATTTTATTTCTCACTGCAGGGTATTTTCATTGGTGTCTTGCCGGGCTATTTCCTCCTAAATTCAGCCAAAACACATTTTATGTGTTTCAAAATGTTATGTCGGAAAAAATAAATATGTATGTTATAAGAAGAAATTCAAGCTTTTTGCTATAAATACAGGCTTCATTTTCAGGTTGTAGTTAAAAAAATTATCATATTCCACTCATGCTACCGCCGCTCATGACATATTTATTTTCATACCAATCAATGAAAATACATCTTGTATTGATGGAAAAAACATGCCCATATTAAAACACTCATACACATTTTTGCTTTTGTAATTTTCATCATTTAATTGACAATAATTATGCTTCTTTAAATTTTGCTATAAAGTTGTGTTGAATTAGTAAATAAATATATTTAAAAAAAGATTTGCAATTTTTATGGTGATTAAACAAAAATGGACGAAATTGAACGATATTAATTTAAAGAAAGTGCCGTGGAATAATGTCAGGTTATTTCAAGTAGACCTGATCACTGACCATTTACACTTATATTGGCATTATGACACTTTATCCTAATAAGTCCTTAAACATGTTCTTTACTATTTTTTCAACAAACATTTATTTGTTTTACAGTTCTTAACGTTGAGAATGCATGCAGACAAAGAGATCATCTTCAGTATTACTGCGATTGTTTGCGCCTTTTCACTGAGCAGTACGAGTATCGCAATTCCTTTCTGGTTAACTACTGAAATCACGGTAGACAACGTGCCAGTATACTCGTATGCCGGCCTTTGGAAGGACTGTGCTGAAGCTCTTGGGGATACAGAGTGCATACTGTTTACAGACGGTAAGACCTATCAAATAACGACAACATTATTATCAAGATATGTATATAATATCAAGATATGTATGATTCAATACGAATCACTGAAATAACAAGTGACAATTTGAGACGTTAGTTGTTTTTATCAAATAATTATGGTGGCTGATTTACGCCATGTTGTATTTTCGCAACTTCGCCTCAAAATACGAAAAAGGCGAAAACACAAAAAGATGACCATGTATAACTTTGTCGTCCCTTCGAATTGTCACCTTTTCGCATTGTTACATTTGTGCATTGTTGCATTTTTAATTTTTTCGCATTGGTACACTAAGTCTTTCACATTGTTACATTTTAAGCATTGCTGCATTTTCGCTTAGTATAAAATGTGATAGAATGTACTTGAGGATAATGTTAATTAAATTTGAAGCATGGTTACTAGAGCTGATATTTATAAATTACCCCTTGAATTTAAATTCGACTCCATTTTCCGCTAGCATATGTGTAATCAATCTGCGCATGCTTCACCGGATCGCAAATATACAAAAAAGCGAAAAGGCGTGCATACAGAAATGAAAACAGACAATAATAGGCAAAAGGAAAAACACAACAATGCGAAAAAGTCAAATAACAACAATGCGACAAAGCGAAAACACATCGATGCGAAAAAGTCAAGATGCAACATTGCTAAAAAGCGTAAATACGACAGATGCAAAGAGACGACATATTTTACGTGTCGTATTGTCGCCCTTCTTCTGTCGTATTTTCGTTTTTTCGCCTCGAAAATCCAAAAAAGTAAAAATACGGAGAGATGACAAAGTCAACTTTGTCGTCCATTTGTGTTTTCGCATTTTCGCATAAGGGAGGCAAAGAAGCGAGAACACGACATGACGCGAATCAGCCACAATACATAATCGCGCGGCTTGTAAGATTCAATAAAAATGGTTCGGGACGAGCCCTGCATATATATTTACATTACGCACATGAGTTATACAAACATGGAGAAATTATATCCAGTGAATATTTTCATAAAAATTTTGATTAAATTATGTTGCTTCCAGAAACTTGAAATAGTTGAAACAGAATGTTTTACAAAAACAGAATAAAATGTCCAGGAAACATGTATTTTAAGAATGACCTGAACCGTTTAGAAAAAATTGTGTGCATTTTCCATACGCTCTCATGAAGTGTATAGAGGATATTCAAGTGCTTTTTATATAAGAACATGACTTATTTTCATAGAGTGGTATGAAAAGAAATATTTCATGAGTGGCAGTAGCCAGAAGTGAAATATGACTTTTTTCATATTTGCATACCACAAGAGGAAGATTAATCCTGTATTTATAAAAATAAACTTGAATGTACTATTTATTATATACATGTTTCTTTTTAAAGAAATTACAATTTGAAACTCTTTAAAAAATAAACATATTCCATACAAAAAGATATTTTCAAATATCAAACAATTATAACTACAGGAAGACATTATTCTTATTTTGTGTATGTGATTAAAAGGATTATTGAACTTGTTAAACTTCATTTGAAATGTTTTTAATTTATTAGAATCGTTGAATAAAATAGTACCATCGTAGCCCGAGGCTCGCAAAATATAATTCTATTTTATTCGTTCACTTGATTTATTATTGAACCTTTACTCATTACATATCGTCCCAAACGAAATTATTTTTGATACTACAAAAAGCATTTATACGATTTATCGTATGTTATTTTCACTTTGTTTTTAATCACAGATTTTTGTGATGAATGCAATTACCAAAAAAAAAACAAAAATCATTCATCTTAATTAATTACCAGATGATCGTTCCGTTCCGTTAATTTTGCTGTAAGGATCGAGCTTGAATACAAATGTTAAGTAAAGTTCTTTCTTTCTTTAAGCTGTTTCAGTTTTCTTCTTCAGTTAAAGATTTTGTGAATGCTACGCGAGGTCTTTTGATAGTTGGAACTGTGATGGTTGGATTAAGTCTGTTACTTGTAGTAAAATACGCAGCGAATCGAAGTACAGAATCTTTAGCAAATATGCGCATAATAACTTTATTGTTAGGAGGTAAATACACATTCTCATTCAAATAATCTAAATCAATTTAATGAGAAAAGCGTTATACTTCTAAAGACTTAGTGTCTTTTGATAATTTCGATTTACTGAATATATTTGTTTTATTACATCTATTAAAACTATTTTTTTTGTATTTGAGGATTCTTTTATTCCGTCTTCATATATTTAATTATTGTTTCATTAACAAAGATGAAGGAAGAGTGAAAAGGTCTTAAGCAATTTTATAGCTACTTTACTCTTCTTATCTTTGTAGCCAGTTTTAAGTTTTTTATTGAGCAAGATGTGTCTAAAAACTATCTGGAAAAATTTTTCTGTTCCTAAATAACTTCTGATATTTCAGAATTAAAACTACACCTTGTAATGACTGAGTTTTCTGTGTTAGGGGAGAAGGTGATGCGTTGACGTTAGCCGTCAATGAACCATCTTATTATAATAATTAAACCAAATCTCCACTATTTTCAATTTTGCTGTTCTTGGCATTTTTAAGGATTCTGTTTTTCTTTTCTTTGTTTTCTCCGTTTTCAGTTATTTTAGTTATAACAGCAATGATCGTGTTTGCAAGCAACACTACAGATTCTGGTCTGACATATGGGTCAGCATTTTATCTGACATTACCTTCCTCGGTTAGCTCTATTATTGCTGCATATGTTGTCTTCAGAGCAAAGAAGAGCCATGTGTCGCACGGATATAGTCCAATAGGTTTTGAATCTGCGAGAACGAGTGTTTGATTAATTATTCCCTATCATTTGAGATATGTGGTCACTTGTATTGTATTAAAGACATCATATAAATGTCAATGATGTATCACAGTGGACGTTATGCCAACACCAAAGCTGAAAGAAAATCTTCATTTGCTTGCACCTATTGTGATAGAAATCGTGAATCGGTCATTGTCTTCTGGTGTTTTTCCAGAGACGTGGAAGAGCGCTGTTATCAAACCCCTTTTGAAAAAGAAAGGCCTTCCCTTAGAATTGAAAAACTATCGGCCTGTATCAAACCTGTCATTCTTGTCGAAAATTCTTGAAAAAGCTGCAATGAACCAAATTTCAAGCCACATTGAGTCCAACAATTTGTTACCATCTTACCAAAGTGCATACCGTAAATTTCACAGTGTTGAGTCTGCTATGATGAAAATGTACAGTGATCTGCTAGAAACAGCTGATAGCCGCCATGTGACAATAGTTGTAATGATTGATTTAAGCGCCGCCTTCGATACTATCGATATACCAATATTACTTGAAATCCTACAGAAGGACTTTGCCATACAGGGTATTCCATTAAAGTGGATCGAATCTTATTTAACCAACAGAGATATGAAAGTTGTCATTGAACAGTCCTCATCGGATACTGAACCACTGAGGTTCGGGGTTCCCCAGGGTTCTTGTGCTGGACCGGTGATATTTACTCTCTATATAGCTGCCCTTAACAAAATAGTCCAGAAATATCCGGCGGAATTGTATGGTTATGCAGACGATCATAAAGTGGCATTTAAAATTAGAGCTGGTGACCATCACAGCGAAGAAATCGTTCGCCAAAAACTCACTGACTGTCTTAATGATATTGTGTCATGGATGACCAGATTTAAGTTAAAAATGAACAATAGCAAAACAGAAATCATCATTTATGGTACAAGACATCAGCTGAAGAAATTGAACATTTCCAGTGTCAATGTTGGTGGGGTCGAAGTCAACTGTGTTGACAATGTGAGAGACCTTGGAGTACAGATGACCAGCACTTTAAGTTTTGACATCCATATTCAAAAGAAGTGTCAGATTGCACACATGCAGTTAAGAAATTTGAAAGCAATCAGAAAACATCTCACTCAGAAATCTGCAGAAATCCTTGTTCACGGTTTGATTCATTCACATTTAGACTTTTGCAATGGATTATTCGCTGATATTCCAGCCTATCAACTTGATAAACTACAACGTGTGCAGAATTATGCTGCTAGAATTGTCACTGGAGCTGCTTACTATCAATCCAGTGCTGAAATTCTTAAATCACTCCACTGGCTTCCAATTCGAGCAAGAATCATGTACAAAGTTATTGTGACTGTGTTTCGTGTTGCAAATGGCACCGCTCCATTGTATCTTTGTGAATTGTTCACTAAATGCCAGAGTCAGTACAGGAAAAGACTGAGATCTTCATCATCTAGCAACATTCGGTTTGATATACCATCAACAAATTCAAAACTTGCAGATAGGTCTTTGGCTATTGTGGGACCTAAATGGTGGAATTCATTGCCAGACTATCTGAAGGACATTACCAATGAAATTCAGTTTAAGGCCAAACTTAAAACATACTTGTTTGGACTGTTTTTCAACTAGAGTTGTAGATTTTCTGTGCCATCGAGACTGGGTTTGGGAGTGTCTTGATCAAGCATATATGTATAAAGTCTTAATACTGTACAGCGCAATCGAATATTTAATACATTTTTGCGCTATATAAATGTCTTGTATTTGTATCATACATATCTTGTACACAAGGCGCGTGTAGTCAAAGCACTATTTGAATGCCGACTTTGCACAAGGTCTATATAGCAGAAAACAACATGATATCTTGTGTACGTTTATATTACTTTATAGCGTTTACTGAATTAGAATTAGCAACAATAAAGCATTAACGTAAAGAGATATAACATAAAGTCCAAATGCTATTTTGTTGTGAATTTTGGTAATAATTTCTGAACAGTTTTATAAGTTCCTCATATATGGGTACGTTTTATTAACTTATTGTAAAATATTTTATATGCTTATATACCACAGTAACTGGTTTTGCACCTTGAAAAGAATATTCCTGCAGCAAGCTTACGAAACTTCGATGGGTGTTTCTATTCCGATTGCCGTTTGTTCCTGAGATTACACACGGAGTCAAACGCTTCACATTGATCTCTTGCAATTGGCAGATTGTAATCACTGCTTTCATAGACCTCACATGATGCTGACATAGATGCCGTAAAATCTAATGTCATTTTTCTTTTTTATTTTTTAACGTTTCGTAACGTTTCGTACCTACGTTCGATATAGTTTATATAATAAATATTATCAAAAGTATACAAAATGATGAAAAATAAATTCATAATCTTAAATATATTAACTAACAAATATTGTTAAAAATATGTGTGGTGGAAGAGATTGCTATACTAATTAGGGGAAGTAACTGCGTAGGTTGGCACGGAGTGGCAACCGAGGGTTTTCTACACAAGTTAAGCTAAAAAGTCGCCAGCTGATCATAACAGGACCACTGTGACTTAAATCCAAACAACACAAGGGTTTAAAAACAATAAGCAAAAGCAAATTTAATGGCAATTAAAATCATTCCTGTACTGCAATGGAACAAGCTAGAATATAATAACTTTTGAACTTTATTTAAATTTTAAATTGTTTAGTATGAAAGTTCAAAATTAAACTGCCATCATAAGACTTGTTCATAGAGAAACGAAAGTTTCAAAATTTCCAGCACAAGGCTTTTCGACCTCATTTCAATTAACAGCAAGAAGTAATAGATAATAATAGAAAGATGGAAACTTGAATAATTCAAATGATGAAACCTTGATATCTGTAAAAATAGTGTAGCTTATAACGTTATTATAAAAAAGATTTATGTTCTATTTAAAAAAATCAATTCACATTTAAAAGAATTGGAAAAAGTGGTCTTATTTTTAGTTTGTGTGATAAAAATGAAGTCATTTATTTTGATGAACAGTAGTTATCTAGGATATTATATTGTATTCATAGACTAGCAAATGTACCATAAGCATCATTGTTAATGATGTTTTTTGATTATGTTTAGTTCATTATAACTAGCATGTTTGATTCAAATCACCTAATTCCGTTCGATAATTTGCAGTTGTGAAAAAAGAGAACTTCCTGAAGGTTATTCAAGACGGCAAAGTTGAAAGCATATTTTGTAGAAAGAGCCTGCTTAAAGTCGCTTTGGAAGCAAGATGTTATATATATCAATGAATGTATCAAGAATAAAGAAACAGCTATAAATATGTTTTGATCTATTCCGTTTAAAGCAAGGTATGAACCAACATAGTGCATCTAAATAATAACAAGGACAAATGGAGAAGTAAATGAATAGGGATTTTAAATTTGAATTAATGCCCTGCTATATTGCAAATTCAATTGGAAACAAATTGTTTGCATCAATAAGCATTTGTTTTCTAAAACAATCGTTATTACGTCGCAATAGTGATTGCATAAATATTTCATCAGGATTGTATTGTATCTTCCCTTCCTCGAAATTTACGAACTATCATTTGTTATATTAAACAATTCACTTATTTAGAACAAGTAATAATAAATTGTTCACAATAACAATAGAAATTGGCAACGATTTAGTAACGTTGAATGCAAACCTGTTTGTAATGTATCATAGACCTTTCATGCGATATAAAATTTATTTGCATACCTTTTTTGTACACTTGGGAACCTGTTGGTAAAATGAAATTGGTTTGAATAATCACATTAACACATTGATTACATTAGTCGGTTTCCTGTACCTTATCAAAGATTTAAGACTGCCAGAACAATTCAAAGGTAACGCTACATCAGGTGATAATTGAAACTTTATCCGTGGCAGTCAATTCAAATTTATGTACGGTCAACAAAATAAAAGGTTCATAGAATATCTGATACATGTTGTTTTTTTTTAAATCGAACAAATCGTTTGAATCATGAATCATTTATGTTATATTAGAACAATTTTAATTTTGATATTGATTGCATTTTATTTTCATGAAGATTTCAGTGCATTTTGTCATTCTCCATTAGCAATGTACTTGATCAGACATTTATACAGAATTAACTTTACAAAAAATGTTTTGAGAAAAAAGTATATATATTTTATAACAGACGATGGAAATATCTTCAAACCATTTTAGCAAACAAAATCAATTAGGAACACTCTTTTGATACTCTGAATTTAGACAGGTAACCCCTTCCTTATGAAAATTTCAGGACATTCTAATCAATTGAATGGTTTCGTCGTATCTATTTGATTTAAGCAATCGTTTGCTATGAAAATTAATGGGATGAAATTATATAGCTAAAATTTATCGTAAAATAAGGGAAAAGGCGAATTCCAAATGTCTAACAATTCCGTTTCAACAATAAATCATTTTATAAATATTTTATTCTTAACCTATCGAACAATCACTATGCATTCTGGAATAATGCCATTTAGTATGTCTATGACTTAAGAAGAGATTAATTTTGTAAAAGGAGTTACAAACGAATATCGCACATGGAGTATCAAATTAACGCAACAACTAATTCAAAACAAAAGAATTTATTGATCACAAATTTGAATTGAAGCACGCATAATAACATTAATGATAGTAATCAATATACTCTATTGACCAAATAATTGATTTAAAGCGATTATCAAAAGTATACAAAATAATGAAAAAAATAAATTCAAAAAATAAAAAACATAAAATAACAAAATATTGTTAAAAAATATGTGTGGTGGCAGAGATTGCTATACTGATTAGGGGAAATCACGTTGGCACGGAGTGGCAACTGAGGGTTTTCTTCACAAGTAAAGCAGAAAAGTCGCCAGCTGATCATAACAGGGTCGCTGTGACTTAAATCCAAACAACACAAGGGTTTCAAAACATTTCAAAAGCAATTCGATGGCATTTTTAATCATTCCTATACTCCAATGAAACAAGCTAGCAATTTAATCTTTTCTTAAATCGTTAAATAATGTTTAGTATGAAAGTGTAATAATAAACTGCCATCATTAGGCTTGTACATTGAGAAACGAAAGTTTCAAAATTTCCAGCACAAGGCTTTTCGACGTCATTTCAATTAACAGCAAGAAGTAATAGATTATATAGAAAGATGGAAACTTGAATCAGTCAGATTATGAAACATTGATATCTGTTATTATAACAATGTAGCTTATAACTTTATTATAAGATAGATTAATGTCCTATTCAAAAAAGGATAATCAATTCACGCTTCAAGGAATTGGAACAGTAGTCTTACTTTGAATTTATGTGCTAAAAATAAAGTATACAGAGGTTCTCTATGATATTATATTGTATTCTTAGACTAGCAAATGTACCATAAGCTTCACTGTAAATGATATACTAGCATATTTGATTCAGAACAACTTAGGACCGTTTGATAACTTACAGTTGTGTAAAAAAGAGAATTTCCTGAAGGTTATCTGACACGGCAAAGATGCTTAAAGTCGTTTTCGTAGCCAAAATTTTATATATTAATAAATGTTTTAAAAATAAAGAAACATCCTTAAATGTGCTTTGATCCATTTCTTTTAAAACAGGTCTTGAACCAAAAAAGTGCATCTAATTAATTACAAGTCAAAAGGCAGACGTAAATGAAATGGAATTTTAAATTTGAAAAAAAACCTGCTATATTAAAAAATCAATTTAAAGCAAATCGTTTGCATCAATAAGCATTTGTTTCTGAAACAACGGCTATTTCGTTAAAATAGTGATTGCATAAATATTTCATAAGGATTTTATTATAGTTTCCCTTCCTCGAATTTTACGAATTATCATTGTAATATATTACAATTCACTTCTTCATAACAAGTCATGAATCAGTTGCAAACAATAACAACAGAAATTGGCGACGATTTTGTAACGTTGAATGCAAACCTGTTTGTAATGTATCATAAACCTTTAATGCAATATGATCACAATTTGCATACATCTTTTTGCACACTTGTGGGTGAAATGCATTTGCTTTGAATAATCATATTAAAACATTGATTATATTAGTCGGTTTCCAGTACCTTATCAAAGATTTAAGACTGCCATAACAATTCAATGGTGTCGCTTTATAAGGTGATAATAGAAACTTCATCCGTGCCATTCGATTCAAGTTTTTGAACGGTCAACAAGTAAGAGGTTTCATAGAATATCTGATACATGTCTTTTTTTAAATCAAACAAATCGTTTGATCATGAATCATTTATGTTAAATAGAACAATTTTAATTTTGATATTGATTGCATTTTATATTTATGAAGATTTCAGTGCATTTTGTCATTCTCCATGAACAATGTACTTGATCAGACATTTATACAGTATTAACTTTACCAAAACTGTTTTGAGAAAAAAAAGTATATATATTTAATAACAGACCTTTCATAATATCTTCTAATCATTTTAGCAGATAAAATCAATTAGGATCATCCTCTCGATACATTAAATTTATACGGGTTATTCATTCCTTATCAAAACTTCAAGACATTCTGACCAATTGAATGGTTTCGTTGTGTCTATTTGATTTAAGCAATCGGTCGCTATGAAAATATAATGGGATTGAATTATAAAGCTAGGATTTATAGCATAATATAGCAAAAAGCAAATTCTAAATGTCTAACACATTCGTTTCAACAATAAATCATTTTATAAACATTTTATTCTTAACATAACGAAAACTCACTATGCTTTCTTGAATTATTCATTTTATCACGTCCTTGACTTACAAAGAGGGTAATTATGTAAAAGGAGTAACACACAAATCTAGCACACCGAGTAACAAATTAACGCAACAACAAATTCAAAACAAAAGAGTTGAAGAATCGAAAATATATATTAACATTATAAAAATAAATAATCTCTATTCTTTTAGATAGCTAATATTAATCTACTTATTTTAACTTTAAAATCAATCTGGTCGACATTCATGGTTAGAAACTTAATTATAAACTACCAAAATATGATATATTCACAAGAAAAGATAAATATTAACAGGAGCTACCACACGATGCAAAAACGTGGCGTTATTTTACAACAGAAATTGAAAGCATACAAAATACAAAATACATTAAAAAGTGTCGCTAGGACTCGTGTATAGGGGAAAGAGGCTTGATGCCGGGGAGGGCGGGGGAGTTCAATATTGGCACAATAGGAGGAAAAAGATATTAACCGTCGATATCAGAACAAGATATATATTTATAAGGGAAGAGAGCCTTTCACAGCACGCAGCCATAAATAACGTTGAGACACACTCGGTCACAAAACAGAAATTGAACAAAGGCAATAGCGCACAGGGCGGCAAGAGGAGGTGATATTGCTAAGTAATAAATACAAATATAAACAAATAAGGACCAATATATACAAGGACAATTCACGAACCCTGGTATGCTCATTATTTACTTTTGTCAAACTATAATTAAATGTTGCTTTTTAAACCTTTCGAAACTATATATTTTATATAGTAAATAAAATCCAGCATATTTTTATAATCTGCTCAATTAATTATACTCTAAGTACAATTCTTTTAAACAACATATTATTGTGCACATACTTCTGGTGATATTATGAATCTCTTTAAAACAGAAATGAAATAAAATGTTTACACATTTACAAAACAAAATATTTAGAGTGGCGGCATGGCCGAGTGGTAACGCGTCGGACTAGTAATCTGAGAATTGCTGGCCACGTGGATTCAAACCTGGTCAGGGGCAAGCTGTTGTTTCTGTTAGCAAGAAACTTTTTATTCAAGGAAAATATCAAGAGTGTTTCAATTAGCTTAGAACTTCCAACGCAACACAATCAAACTTAAATACAGTTAGTATAAACTAAACATAACATCAACTTTAACATATGTTGTAATATTGGATACATTCACATGAATGAATTACTAGAAGATTTTTGTTAATACATCGTCTTAAATTAAAACGTTGCTAAATCGTTTAAGACAAATTAAATCTAGCAAGATGACATGACGTATGAGCAACTAAAATGAATATATTAAGCAAACAACTTCAAAATAAATGTTTTAAAAGACTTTTATAAATGTTTATAATACAATTGCATTTAAAAAAATAAAATATTAAAAAACGTTTAAATGTTTGTACATTTACATATTTTCATTCGGCGAAATAACAATTGTTTGACAATGAAAGAAGAAAAAGAAGAAAAAAGGTAAAAAACTGTACCACAGTTTCGATTCGGTGCATAAATTTGGATACAATTAAAATTTGCACGCATGAATATCTTTTAAAATGCAAGGATTCAGTGGATTTCAATTACATATATATAAGTGTACAATCATACCGCCTTGTTTATGAAAAAATAAAGATGTCTTACCTTTTACGAAGAGACAACATAATTAACATTATTTTGATCAGACCATTCTGAGAACAACATTAAAAAAGTACATACATCATTTTCTCAGCCTAACAACATTATTTTGTTACAAACATTTTCGAAGTGGTCCTTAAACTGATTTTTAAACAGAGGTCATTAAACATGTTGAAAGCAATGATGTTTGACACATAGCTGCCAAACTTATTTCAGACTCGGCTAGCGCCTCGGCCAATACAATGTTGACAGCTGTTTACCCGTCTAATATAATCTTTTATTGAAATGAACGTTATAGTCAATTGTTCGATACACTTCTTTTAATATCACTGATTCTTTTTTATAGGTTTCTACAGAGAATTGTTATACCCTTATAAACATTTTACATTTCATCTAATATGCTGCCACAATTGTTCCAGGTACTGATTTATTTACTGTTGTATTAGATGGACTTTTTAATTAAATTCAAGGATTAAATAATGGATTTTTCTTTTTTCTTTTTTTTTTTTAAATTATCAAACACTTTACTGAATTTACATAACAAAGCTCAACAAATATGTTTTCCAGATGTTTGTTTAAACAAAATGTCTAGTCTCTTACATCAAATTGCTTTCTAAAATATATTCCCAACATTTAAGCTTGTTGAAAACTGAGTGTTAAATAATAAAAATACATTGACACTCTGAAAAAAGACTCATCATTTCAAACAATCATTCTGATATACATTGCTATATTATTTTAAGAGATCAAATATAAAATTACATATACTGGTCCTTATAAAGCATGTAATTTACTTAGAATTTACTGAGAAAATATATTGGCTGAACTTAAATATTTTATTTCCAGTGAAACAATTAAACAACCATTTAAAGTAAAAATCGAAAATAATTACTTGTTCACAATTGAGCTACATTTTTGATAATACATGTTTTACTATATTCAAGCTGCAAAAAATGTTCTAAAAATTTAAGAAAGGTAAAAACATTCAAGATTCAAGTGATATTTTAGATGTTATATGCGGTTTTAGCCTGCTTTTAAGGTTTTTTATGCCCATAATCCTTTTGCGATACTAACGCAGTAAGGGCTGTTTTTGCATATATATATTGACCACATTTTGGTATTTTTCTCGGATTTTATTTACCGATTGCAGGATGTAAATTGCTTATTTCGTTCATCTCACAATATTTTACTTTTGAATACATTTCCAAAATTTTCATAAAAATTATCATTTATCTGGAGGCGTGCTGCTTTAAATATACTCATATATAATGCAGTCGGTTCGAGGTTACACTTTATTTCTAATTTCTTTTCACCTTCATATGGACATTGCGAATAGAATAATGGTAACCCCAACACGTTTTCCAGTTAATACCAATAGCATACTGATTGTGATATCCAGGTAAGTATAGTCCATTCAAATTGCTTTGATGACAATATTTATACCACCATGCTCCTTTGTATTTTTGAGCGCAGTTGTTGTACCATACGTCGTTATCCCTGTCTTTAGTCGAGAACATATTTCCATCATGTACACCGAGACTATCATTGCAGTTTCCGGAGAAACCATTAACATGCAATCTAAAATTTGAATCTTCGTCGTCAACCCTGAACTTGTGATACTGTGCATAAGCATGTGTAGGTGATACGTCTTCAAATGCGTCCATTTCAATTCTCAAAGAACTGTCTATAGTAGTAAGCCAATATATATTCTCAAGGCCAAGCCAGTACTCTCCTGATATGTTACCGAATCCACAAACATAATCTGTCCATGTTCTGTAGAAGTTTTCTGACCCATCCAGTCGTCGTTGTATAACTGTCCATCCACCATTGGTCATATCACACCACACATCAGAAGTAATTCTTCCGGTTGGTTTAATCACATAAATACCGTCCTCGCTATAGCCTTGTTGATAAAGCTCCAGGCAGTCAAATGGCTCTGGTTGCTTGTGTATTCTTTTTATCTTTAAACCGCCTTCCTGTGAAGCAATTAAGTATATTATTTCTTAAACATTATGTAACAATTCTTCCCATAAATTATTACAGAGAAACCCCTTTTAATCGGATTGATTACATATTAGAGGTAAATTATTTTATGTGCAACATGACTTTACACACATACGCACGCACGCACACGCGCGCAGACAATTTAACAACAACAACAATTGTTTAATAATCTCTTTAAGCTTAAATTAGTCAAGGAATCGCACTCAATATCGATTTTCAATTAAGTTCTTACTACATTTCTTAATTTTCTGTATATGTTTATTTAATACTGAAACCATTTTAGAGTTTTGGTGGTCAGTAAAGCTCATTTTAATATTTCGATGACTTGGGCTATTACGGGCAAAAGTTGTTTATTATAAATATACAAAACATAATATATACTTGTCTGAAGGTGTTTTTCTTTACATTATTGTAAAACTTGTAAACATTTTATTTTAAACCAGAGAAATGTAAATATTTCAGCGTCGTCAGGGGTTTAAGGGTTCCAAAATTCGAAGATCAAATTACTTCAATTACTTTTTTAGATAAGAAATTCACGATCACTTTAATTCTAAAATACCATTCAGAATTAAACATATTACAGAATAAACTTTGTTTAAAACGTTATACATGATGGTATAATGAATTAAAACGAACGTTTTGAGTACGAATAAAATTATTAGGGTAAATGTTACTGAAAATAAGAACTACAAGAAAAAGCACATTTATCTCGGCCAAGTATCTTAAAAAGAAATACTTGTGTTTGACATGACGTCATTTGCGCTATACAAACATAGGGTAATGATCCCTATATATAAATGTTACGGTACAGGCGATTCGTTGAAAAGCAGATTTTTTGTACTGTGAGTACTTATTTTTGGATTTGTGATAATTAAAATATTGTTTTCTTGTATCTATATTACTTAATTTATTGAAAAATATTAGGCGTTCATAATGAAATTTATTCAATATGATAAACAAGATCAACAAGTAAAGGCGGCGTTCAATGAACGCAACCCCCACACGATCCAGCAACAAGAGCCAGTGGCAAGGAGCCCAGAAGTCCCCAAACAGGGCAGAGGCAGAGAAAGTGCAGGTTAATCACAAAAATCATACATAAGATGAAATAGTTAGCAACCTTGTCAATAAATTCAGCATTGAACCTATAGTCATTCAATATCATCTATATAATATTCAATTGTCTTATCTTTCATAGGATAACACAGAAAATGTGAATACATTGAATAATATCATTTCTATTCACTATTGTTTTTTATTACTGCAACAACTCAGTTATGTTAGTCTTATATTAAGGTAGTCTTACTGTAATGCCCAAAAATTCATACATCGATCAATATCGTAGAAAATCGGTTATTCCCGGAACATTATTTTTTCAACATCTTGGACATTAGATTTTTTACAATCTATGAATCTGGAAGCGTGCTGCTTTAAATAAAAACACACACAAAAAACAACAATTATCTCATAATCTCTTTTAGCTTAAGTTGGTCAAGGAATCGCACTCAATATCGATTTTAATTTAAGTTCTAACAAGATTTCTTAATTTTCTGTCGATGTTTATTTAACACCAAAATCTTTTTAGAAATTTGGTGGTCAGTAAAGCTTTTAAATTATTTAATATTTCGTTTCACAACTGGCATAAATTGTTTATTATGAATAAAACAAAACCACAATATCATTGTTTGAAGTAGATTTTTTAAATGGTTGTGAAACTTGTAATCATTTGTATTTATTGTATTTAACTTGCCAACTTGGAACCAGAGATGTTTCATATTGTTACTTGATATTTGGACGGTAACAATCGCCCGGCGCCAGGAGTTAAAGAGTTCCAAGGTTTGAAGGGTAATTTACATAAAGACATAAGGGGTCGTTATAAAGGGTTTGTTCAAAGAGTCATTGCATAATGTCCTTTTTATCACATACTTGTATCGTTTTGGCGAAACCGTAAAAATGGTATTGTACGGTTTTGCATATATTTCGGCCGAAGGTCTTCTTAAATAAGTCTGACGTCCTGTAAAATTGACAGCGAAGAACTGAATATTAGCATAATTCATATTGGTCATTTTAACATCTGGGAATCTCATTGGCCATTCTAAATTAAGTAAACTAATGTAAAAAAATCTTTTTGAAATGGTGAACGCGTCTTATGTTTTACTAATCTTAATGAATTCCGGAAACAAACTATCTTCTGAAGTTACTCAGATTTTTAAGTTCTATCGTTTACCTTTTTTTTTCATCATATGTATCAGTTCTTTTAAATTATGTTTCCCCCATAAATTATTTACACCACTTGAAATATCATCATATACTGAGTAAAATAGTTTGTCTTCAATTTATATTTTATATATGTTTGAATATAGATTAAATATATTTATAACACCAAGGTGTTAATTGTTTGTCAATTTTAATTGTTTTTCTAAAGTTTTCAGGTAACAGACTTACGGTTTGTTTCGAATTTAAAAAGTTTATTGATTGTTTCCACCAGTGCTTTAGTATCAAAAAAACTTTCTATTAAAATTTCAATTTGATAAAACTTCAATTGCTTATTTAAAAAAGTAATTCACTTTAAGTGAAAAAAACACCCATTCAGAATTAAACATACTGCTAAAAAAACTTTGTTTCAAACGTTATACACGATGGTAAAAATGAGTTAAAACGAACATTTTGAGTACGAATAAAATTATTAGGGACAGTGTTACTGAAAAGAAAAACTACAAGTAAAAGCAGATTAATCTCGGCAAATCACCTTTTAAAGAAACACTTCGTGTTTGTCATGACGTAATTTGCGTTATACAGACATAGTGTAAAGATTGCTAAATATAAGCGTTACGGTATAGGCGAATCGTTGTAAAGCAGATTGTTTTACTGTAAATACTTCTTTCTTTTTGGATTTGTGATAATTAAAATATTGTATTCGTGTAGCTATATTACTGAGTATATTGAAGAATATTACGGTCAAATAAATTCAGTATTGAACCTATACTCATTTAATATCATCTATATATAAATACACAATTGCCTTATCATAGGATGACACAGAAAATGTGAATACATTGAATTATATGATTTCTATTTTCTATTGTTTTATTACTGCAACAACTGAGCTTTGTTAGTCTTATATTAAGGTAGTCTTACTGTTATGTTTTCCCGCCCAAAAAATTTCTAACATCGACCAATATCGTAGTAAATCGGTTTTTTCCGGAATGTTATTTTTTCAACATGTTTGGCATAAGATACTTTATAATCCTTTATCGCTATGAGCTAAATTCCGGTTATAAACGCTTAAAATTATGTAATACCAAAGATTGTACAAAATGAAATTCCGGAAATGACGATTTCGCCGATGTTAGAATGTTTTGGCGGAAAAACTTTACAGTCAGATAACTTGGAAATAAATTACAGAAATATTTTTTTAGAAATTGTAACAGAAAATGTAAATACAAACTCATGTTAATAGATTTTAAAATTCATATTTGAAATTTATTACATCCATTTACAATTATTTACACACTCCATTAGACATATTTAAAATGAAGTAAAAAGCTGACATCTTCAATTTTATTTTAACAATAAGTACATGTCCCCAGACGAGTTGCAGATTTTCAAAATATACAAAGACATACGAAGAGTTTAAGACATGTTAATTCATATGGGGTTAAAGATATAGCATGCTCAAATTTGATATTTGAAAATACTGATAATTGCTTCGCAGTCTCTTTGTAAATACATTAAATAAACATGTTTTGACATTAGACGAAGTAGATACATGTATGTTGTGTTTGAAACACATTATAGATCATCACAATTTAAATAAAGTGTCATTAAAAAATGGCAGTTTTTTTAAAGAAAGAACCCACTTTACTTGACCTGTACTAAGGAACACAGAGTCCGATATATAATTTGTACGTTCTTTTTTTAAAATAAGACATATTTGGTAAGAATCTTCTAGATTTCAATAAATTTGTGCAATAAAAGTATTTTCCTCAAGGTTGAGCATAATATATATTTAAGCAAGTTATATAATGTACATAAAATACTTAATTAAGTATTTACATCATAACATGTTTGCAAGTTATTTGCAGAACGTAAACACATTTGTATATTTTGCATTACTCCGGATAGGTTTTGTCACGAATACACATTGCTTTATGTTATGTCATGTATTTTATGCTTCATGAGGGTCACCTGCCCTTTCGGGGACTAACAGTACGGACCCGGACATAATACCATTTATGTTTTTAAACAAAATTTATTGTTTAAAGTGATGATCTATTTGATTTGATTCACTGTATGGTTCTACATAATTCAATCAAATTAATGCAAGTGGGTTCATGAGACCAATTTGTACATGGTATGATTAATGAATGTGTTGCTGTCTTAACAAAGGATCTCATTAAGCGGACGTGCGAGGTTTACTGACCATTGCTATAAGGACAGACTTTTTCAGGTGTTTCGGATAGGTGCCTCAGACATGCGTTTTGGGCAGACACGTTCACTCCGTCCAGTTTTTAAGGCCGACCAAATGACAACAAACCGGTACAATCAGAAAGTGGATGCCATGGACTGGCTCTTTCAGTGCCATTTATTTGTCTATTATCAGAATATTTTTAAAATGAATATTATATAGATTTAAACAAAAATTTATCATAAAAAAGTAATAATTCTTACTTGAGTATCCGTTGCTGACACCGTCTCTGTTCTTTTCCCATGGATAATTTCATTGTCAGTATCCCCCTCCTCACCAGTGATATTGTCAAGACCGGAACAACAGAAACATGTTGCATTATTTTCAAAATAGTAAAACGATGGCAATTCTAATTTCTGACAATTAAAACTGCATGAAATCACTGACTTTGCTTGTATTAAAAAAAGTGAAGGGTCATTTTTGGGAAACTGAAAAACTTTCTCTATCTCGAAAAAAGATGACGCAAATTCATTTCCTAAGCTTTGAGCTGTTCCAAAAGAGTGGATAATTACCAAAATAAGCAACATTGCATTAAAAGAAAATAATCCGTATACAGAAAAAAATGCAATTATATTTCAAGTTTCGAAATAGTCCTTGTTGAAGCTATTGAAAATATATACGACTGCACCAGTACTCTGGTTGTTACCTGTCATTTATAGAAATGAAAGAGCAAACATTTAATATATTATTTAATGAATTACAAACACCTGGTTGCTATGGGTCCTATTTGACTAGAATATTGACTTAGACGAATGGCATGACAAAACATACGGGGAATGATTCGAAATAACTTAGGGTTCTTTTTATTGACAATCACAAAAAAAGCGATGATAAACTTATTACAATAATCATATTCTGTAGCAGGAGAAACAATATTTATTAACAGCTAGCAGCGCTTTTCTTATTCCAGGGTCATAACTCAGCCAAAAATGATTCAACCGACACGCGAGTTACATATGCGCAAGTATTTGTGGTTCTGATCAAGTCTGTAAATATTCACTCAAATTGCATTGGTAGTATACGAGGGGGTGATCCGAACAAATTAAAAAAAAAAAGTAATTAAAGGCTCATTGCACCAGTAGGTTTTGTGATTAGTTCGACGGACAAACAAGCAGACTGACAGATTGACAATTAGATAGATGATGGAAAAATATATTAAATATATCACTTTTTTTCGTAGTTCTGCAAAGACTTTCTTTGGCTAGGAATTACATTTCTAAAATGGCGATAGGGAATATGTATCTTTTTATATTAAGACTCTACTCGAGGCACTTTGATACTTGTATCTAAGCCAAAATGTGCTGAATTGTATTGAATGTTTTGATATTTACATAAAAAACAGCTCTTAATTAAAACCCAAAATACCCTTTAAAATTTCTATCGTGAAACGGATGTTTACAAGAGGGTGTTTCAAAATCTCATTAAAATGAAATGTTTCATGCAAATACGTGCAAATACAGATCTATAATATAACTAAATATTCAAATGTAGTCTTTATAATGAGACTCTACTCGAGGCAATTTTATGTTTATAATTTTTCATTTAAACCCCAGTCACACTAGATTTAAACCCCAGTCACACTAGAACGACGTTCTCATGGCGTTCAAAGAAAATTCAGAACGCCGAGGTGAGCCCAATAAGATCGCAAATTTCGCTGCAGCATCGCCGTAGCATCGTAGTGGCATCGCATAAAACGCCGACTGACGGCGCGCATTTTGAACAGCGCAGTGGGATCGCAGTAAGAAACAACGCAACAGAAGCGCCGTGAAAGCGCAAAAGATCGCCGAATGAAAGCTGTGGTTTTCCACATCGCTTGTACGGAGATCGTGCGGCGTCTTTTCCGCGCTTATAATGCGTTTGCATGCCGTTTATACCGAGCTTTAAGATTTCGGCGCAGTGTGAGCGTCGCGAGAGCGCCGTGTGAGCGCCGTAAAAGCTCAGCTGAAGCGCAAAGAACACAGTAGTAGCGCAGTTCGAACGTAGACAATCGCCAATTAAAACGCCGTGGAAGCTCCATATCATTGCTATGATCGCCTAGAGGACGCCGTGAAGACGCCGTGAAGTATCTATGTCATCAAAAATATCACATTTTTTATTGCAATCTCGCGGCGCTTTGTTAAATTTAACAACGCCATGCAAACGCAGTAAAAGTGCAGTCTAGTGTGACAGGGCCTTTATTATATGGTAATACAAAAATATGACTAATCTTTTTCTTCCGTTTTACAAAACACTGACAGTTCATTGCAAAATATATGGTGAAATAGTTTCAGCTCATCTTTATTATCATCATCTTTCAAGTTCTGAAATAAATTTATTGCACAACATTATTTGTACTTAATTTTCAGATACTTCATAAGTATAAAAATCCCAAATGTCGTGTTTCACGGACGGCAAAATTAGTTTCGTTAAACATGATAGTGTTGGATTATATGTTTCAATTATCATTGCATACACGAAATATTGAACATTGTTCAATATACATTATATGTAAATTTTAAATTTTAATTTAAAAACAGGTTGTTCTTTTTTAATCGTGGCACTTTATAACGAGTAAAATGTTAGTCAATGTTCATAATTATAATATAAAAGTCAGTATTATACAATCTAAAATTAAATGTGCACATATCGTAATATAAATATAATTATTTCACACTTAAAAAATAAACAAACTGAATGCACTTTCAGAAATTGTACCACGTGATGTTTGTCAGGAGAAATGACTGCCTTGATGTTATTAAATCTAAGGAAAGATTTAGTAATAAATACTAGAACCAATTTCCTAGATATGGGGGCTGGGCAGACCGCCTGACATAAAATTGAAATATTCTCAGTTGGAAAACTAGCATGTAATTGTTTAGTTAACACTATTTCTTTTTAGGTATTTTATTTTTTTCTATCTTAAATTCATATATACATTTAAACAACAAACTCTGACTATTATTTACACAAAAAACAAAGAACTCTGATCATTATTTACACCCAAAACAAACACACGTCATTTATCAACCACTTATATACGAAATATCTTTTCACGTATACGTGTTTTATACGAAGCAATACTAGACACCTGGCGAGCCCAAGCTCTACACAAATTATGATTAAACAAAACAACAGAATCACCACAAAATGAAGAACACAGAAATGACTATTTTTTCAACTCTAAGATACAGTATAAACCACAAACATTCATTCAACAATATTAACTTCACACAATCTAATCAGCATCAGAAAACAACTTAAACTAAAGCACCCAATATTTACATATATCCTCAAAACAAAACATCAACTAATATAATCTTGAGCAGACAAACATTCAACCAATTTCAACCAAATATTTATTACCAAACAGATATAACTCAACAACCAAAACAACTAATTACAACCAATAAACCCTGATCAATTAAGATCATCACAATTATATTCAACCAACTTCAACAAATCAACAAAACTCCCTTAAAAACAACAAATTGTCTGCTCAGTAAAAAATAACCGCTACACACTATCAGCGTGTCTCTCCTAACTGATGTAAAATCTCGCAAAACCTCGCATATATGCTAGCTTCTATACATGTAGATATATTTTAAACTCCCGGCAACAGGTTTATAAATGAAACTGTACATTGAAATCTGATACACTTCAGTGTATCGCTGACTCGTTGTAAAAAAACTAGTGAAACTGTATGATTATTCTGACAATGTTTCAATAGAAACAATTATTGGGTCCAACCTTAAACTCGTTTTAATTTCTAGAGCCCCAAAAGGTCCATATCAAATTCATATCACACCCATTATAGCTTCATTTTCTATTCTTAGATTTCAAAATATTAAATGCAACTCATACTCTATCTATTTTCGCTTAAATTTTAAAAATTTAAATTCCAAAAAATCCATATCAAATCCTTATGAAATTGGAGTCATAAACTTTTATCAATATGTCAACAAATGGAAGTGTGAGATACAGAGGTCATTAAACACGTTGAAAGCGATAATGTTGGACTCGTACAAAGCTGCCAAACATATTTCAGACTCGGCTAGCGCCTCGGCCAATACAATGTTGACAGCTGTTTACTCGTCTTATATAATTGAGTGTTGGATTCGTATAATAACCTCATATTATTTTATAACAAATGAATATATACATTCACTCGGCATTTTTTTCTAGATCGATATGGTTTTATATCCAAACGTCGATTCATGCTTAACATTTTGTAGTGCACCTATGAGGTTTATGTCTATAGTTAATCTAAGTTCAAAGCAAATCTCCGCTTTAAAAGCAACCACCGTACCTGTACTGTCGATGGAATCTGAAATTATACTGAATCACTTGAGAGAAAGCAAGGAATGCATTCAGACATAACTGAAATTATGACGATTCCGTTCGATTGAGTAGATCAATCATTTAAAAAAATAATGCATCTCTTCAATGTCCCACTTCTCCACTGTTTATGATCTAAGAATTGAAAACAATTACACTGAATGACGACCACAAAACAAGATAAAAACTGGGAGAAAGAGAATAATTGAACAAATATGTGAATAAATGGTATAGGTCCAATCGAGTAGAAACATCAGTGATGATCAGTCTATATCGTCACCTAAGTGTAGTAACAAGTTAACTCCTTATATGATTTAACAGAAGCTAACCCGTTACTGACCTAAATTGACTAAATATCTGTAATATTCGGTTAAGGCGCACTTAAGGCGCAGGACTACATAACGCTGTAAACACTAATGAGATAAAAGAAATGCAGTTTAACTTATCCAATAATATATCATCTCGCCAACTGAATGTTGTTTTGAAATGAAAATCCGATTTTTCTTCATGTTTTATAGAATTTTATATTCTATATAAAATTATGATGTTTTGCAATTCAGGCACAGTGAAAATGTAAGTCATCAATTGGAAAGATTGCACGATGAAAAAGTATTATTTTGAATACTCTTGTCTATTTTATCCTCAGAGTATCATCTAGTTATGCCAATGAACAAAATTCAATTGCCCCTCAGTGTATGTCAAATGCGAAAAAACTGTTTATCTAGGAAAGTACGTATAAATAGTTATATAATAATTTTTAACATAGTTTTTCGCTTACTTACTTTTTATATGTTCTTTAACATCCATTTACATAAATGCTTATATTTATTTACAAGTGCAATATAAAGGCACACAATCCATAATTTAAAAACTTACTGGTATAGTAACAAAAACATTTTATTTCAATCAGAAACAACTGAAGTAAAATTTAATAATAATGTTTATCAATCTTTATAAAATATTAAAACATAGAAATACATCTGCTCCGAAATAAGTAATTGGTCAAATCGTCATAATAGTATATTTCAAGCCTTTATCAATTATAAACGGCAAAAATTGACTGTCACTCCACACGTAAAAATGTTCGTTATATAATAAGAACTAGACTAACCAAATAACGTTTCCTACCAGAGGTATACCAAAACTAGTTTTCGCTACAAAAGGCAAATTTTCCAAAAGTATTTCAAATCTTAATAAAACAACGATTAGGTATCATTTAGATATTCTTTTAAACAAAATACGATGATATAGATTCAAATGTTAAGTATTTTCTGACACGTTTTGCTTTTAACAATTTATTTACTTATCTGGGTAACTGTTAATAAGAGATAATTATAAAAGAAAATATATTTTATGAGTAAAAAAGTAAAATCTTCTTTTAGTTATAGAATAAGATTTAAACAATTTCGTTACAATTTTAAGTTTTCTGGCGTATTTTCATAACGTTTCGTTTTAGCGAATAATTGAATCCCCAACACGTGGCCCAAACAACACCACTACCGTATTCTGTGTTAGAACCTTTCAAATATAACCCGTTTAAATTGCTTGCGTGACACGTTCTATACCACCAAGCACCGTTGTACTCAACAGCGCAATTTTCGCTACCTTTTCCGTCATTGTCATTGTCGAACGTGGAGAATCTCCAACCGTTATGAAAAGCCAAAGAATCCGCACAGCTACCATTATATCCTGAAACTGACAACCTGAATTTGTCAGTCTCGTCATTGATCTTAAATGTGGAATATTCGGCATAAGCTGATGCGGGTGAAACATTATCTGTTTCAAACGTTTCCATTTCTATATAAAGTTCACTTCCTATTGTTGTTAGTATGTTAATGTATTTAAGACCAAGCCAGTACTCGCCTGTTGTGTTCCCAAAGCCATTCACGTATTGATCCCAATCTCTGTAAAAGTCCACAGATCCATCTTGGCGCCGCTGTATAATTGTCCATCCACCATTGGACATATCACACCACACGTCAATATTCACATCTTCCTTTAGTTGAATAACATACACACCGTCTTCAGGATAGCCCAGCTTATAAAGGGATAAGCAGTCAAAGACACCTGGTTGGCGATGTAATCTTTTGTTCAACCTATTGGATGTCTGTAGATGAAAACATGGCCAGTTTATGATCGGAAACTGTCTTAAAACCTTTTTACATTATTTATATTTTGCCTTTATATTTCTTTGAAATTATATTACACAAAAAAGAAACAAACTAGAAGTGCCACTGTCAGGGCATGAATACTCCCGCATACCACTTTGTCAGAATCAACAGTGGTCATTCAGAGCTCAAGGGCAACCTACCAGCCAAATATGGTCATGACCAACTTTAATGCCAAAATTGAAGAATGTGGGTCAAATGATTATTTGTATTGGGCTGATAAACATTTTAAGTCAAGGCCTTTCTGACATTGACATTTGACCTAGTGACCTCACAAACAATAGGGGTCTTCTACTAGGCTTAACCAACCTCAATACCAAATATGAAGACTGTTAACTAAGCATTCTTAAGCAATTGAGTGGACAAGCTTTTAAACTAAACTTTAAGGCCCTTACCTTGACCTTTGACCCAGTGACCTTATAATCAATACGGGTCAACAATGGTCATGAGCAACCTTTATTCCAAATATGGAGACTATGGATCAAAGTATTCTTAAGTTAATGGGCGGACAAGCTTTTTGAAGTCAAGACCCCTGTTACCTTGACCTTTGACTTGTTGACCTAAAAATCAATATGGGTCAGCTAATAATCATGACTTACCTCCATGCCAAATATAAAGACTGGGTCATAGGATTCTTCAGTTATTGGGCAGACAAGCTTTATATAGTCAAGGGTTCTGTGACCTTGACCTTTGACTTGGTGACCTAAAAGTCATCAGGAGTCATCTACTTATCATCACAAACCTCCATGCAAACTATGAAGAATGTGGGTCCAAGAATTCTTAGGTTATTAGGCAGACAAGCTTTTTGAAGTAAAGGCCCCTGTGACCTTTGACCAAGTGACCTCAAAATCAATAGGGTTCATTTTATAATCATGGCCAACCTTCATGCCAAATATGAAGACTGTGGGTCCGAGGATTTTAAGTTTATTGGGTGGACAAGCTTTTTGAAGTTAAGACCCCTGCGATCTTGACCTTGGATCAAGTGACCTTAAAATCAATAGAGGTCATCTACTTATTGTGCCTAACCTCTATGCCAGATATGGAGACTGTGGGTCAAAAGATTCTTAGGTTATTTGGCGGACAAGCGTTTTAAGTCAAGGCTCCTGTTACCTTGACCTTTGACATGGTGACCTCAAAATCAATCATGGTCATCTACTAATCATTATTAACCTCCATGCAGAATATAAAGACTCTGGGTCAAAGGATATTTAGGTTATTGGGCTGACAAACTTTTTTTAGTCAAGACCCCTGTGAGCATGACCTTTGACCTGGTGACCTCAAAATCAATAGAGGTCATCTACTTATCACGTCTAACCTCCATGCAAAATATGAAGATTGTGGATCAAAAGATTTTTTAATTTGTTTGGCGGAAAAGCTTTTCTCAGTAAAGCCCCCTGCGACCTTACCCAGTTGAGTTCAAAATAAAATGGAGTCATCTAATAATCAAGATCAACCTAAATGCCAGATATGAAGATGAGGATCAAAGGATTATTCAGTTATTTCGGGGACAAGCTTTTCATTGTCAAGGTCCCTGTGACCTTGACCTTAGACCTGGTGACCTTTAAATATATAGGGGTCATCTACTAATCATGTCTAGCCTTCATGCTATAAACAAAGACTGTGGGTCAAAGGATTATTCAGTTATATGGCGGACAAGCTTTTTTAAGTCAAGGTCCCTGAGACATTGACGTTGATCTGGTTACCTCGAAACCAATAGGGTTCATCTTCTAATCATGATTAACCTCTATGCTAAATATCAAGACTGTGGGTCAAAGAAATCTTAAGTTATTGGGCGGACAATGAAAAACCGGCAACGCCGACGGCCGAATGACCAGACGGACAAGCTGAGCCAGTATACCCTCCTTACAACTTTGTTGTGCGGGAGTATAATAAAGGCTTCATAGAACTCTAGTTTAAAGATATAAAGACATTGGTTAACTATTCAGTATTATCTAGAAGGTTAACCATAAATATTGAAATAAGATGTTCGAAATGATTATAAATTTACAAAAAAAGACATTTTTCATTATTTCATAATGGTTACCTGTAAATATGAAGTCAAAACGTTAGTTTTCTTTAGGCCGTAAATAATGCCTGTGCTTTCAACAGAATTTACATTTTCTTCAGTGCTTGCATATTCCTCCAAGTTACAAAGACACCTTTCATTGTTTTCAATGTAGAAGAATGCAACGCATTTCCGTTCCGTACAATGAAATTTACAAGTTGAAAAGGACATCCTTTGCTGCAAAGTGACAAGATTATTGCTTTGTGTTATTTCCGTTACATATGCCAAACTATACATTACTGTTTCACTGGAAGTTGTCCAGTCTTCACTTAAAGCGAATCCATTCAGTGCAAAAAGAATGGCCATATTCACAATCCAAAATGCCATAATGTTATCTTTTCCAGTCTCAGAACAAATTCATTAAATTGCTGCAAAAAGGTTTGCGACTTTTCTTTACTTTTTAAAAACAACTTAACTCACATCCAAACATGCCAAGTTCTGAGAAATTAATGGATAACACAATTAATTGTATTTCAGATGAATAAAGTGATCACAAAGGCGTAAGCGTAAACAATTATGTAACGGTTCAAATAACACACCGTTAAGAATTGCACGACTTACGTGATTCATACACAATTTAATCAATTTGTCATTTCCCTTATAACATTCGGGTTTGTTAATAATCAATAGTTAATTAATAGCCACGGAAAAGTAACAAACGACAATAACTTTGTAACTACTTCAGATAGAGTCATTGTTCTTGTGCACTGCACTTTCCCTTTTTGCGCTTGGCCATTGCATGAAGTTGTTATTGAATTCCAACTGGTAGTTTTTAAGTTATGCTCCGGACAAAGAAAAGTAACAAAGGGCAATAACTATGTAATTAGTCAAGATTGAGTTATAGCTCTTGAGCACTGTAATTTCTCTCTATATGCTTGATCATTGTATGAAGTAATACTGAATTCCAACCAATAATCTTTAAGTTATGCTACGAACAAAAAAGCAATGGATATGTAACAAGGGGCATTTACTCTGTTATAACTTTAGATAAAGTTATGGTTCTTGCGACTGCACTTCCTTTTAATGTGCTTGAACATTTTATGAAGTTGTATTGAATTCTAACCAGTATTTTTCAAGTTATCCCCCGGACAAGGAAAAGAAACAAAGGGCAATAACTCTGTAGTCTGTCAAGATGGCGATATGGTTCTTATGCACTGCACTTCCTCTCAATATGTTTGATCATTTGATGAAATTGTATTGCATTCCAACCATTAGTCTTCAATTTATGCTCCGGTCAAAAGAAAAGCAATGGAAAAGTAACAAAGGGCAATAACTCTTTAAATACTTTAAATAGAGTTATGGTTCTAGTGCACTGTCCTTTTTTGATAAGTTTATTCACTTTATTGGTTTAACATTGCGCAAGAGTAAGGGTTGTCGATATCGCCATCGTTTTCGGAGCTAAAAATTGATTTCGTCGGTGGCTGTAGTTCAATCACTTAAATAAATCACAATCAGTGAATGTTGTATTAACTTCTCCCATAATATGTATGTTACTGCAAATCATACAAGAAACACTGTAAATATCATTATCTTCAAGTATAATAAATTATTTTATATATGTACTTCACTTACGGTTTTAAGTCGTCCCTGAAAAACAGGTGACAACTCTTACATCTATGTGATACCGGAGTTTGTAAGGGCTTTATAATATTTGTCCTTACAAGAAATTTGCATATTATCATAAGTTTTTACATATTATCAATGTTTATTTATAATTTTTAAATAACAAGAATACTATATTTATCAATTGTAAAAATAGGAAAAAATATGTATCTCTTTTTCTGTTGTATGAATTTTCAAGATGGCGCCGACCAAAGACCTGTGAGCGGGTTGTTAAATTATCTTGGCTGTTGAGCATCTGCTATATATTGTTTTTTAGAGATATAAATTGTCATCTGTACAGGGAAGGTGTTTAAAAATAAGCATAGCAATTTAATGGTGGAACCGGTGAGATCATAAAAAGCATGCTAAGAACGTTTTACATGTTCATTGCGTAACAAATTAAATGGTGCCAGTTTAAAATTTGCGCCTTCAATTCTGTTGCGGCACTGTACCTTGACATTGAATAATAAGGATAACTACAATCATCATAATTACTGGTTACATTGGGTGGTTGTGTCACCTGTTGCAAAGTGTGGTGACTGAAAGTTCACATACTGGTATGTGTTAGAACCAGATACATAGACTGATGTAAAAGGACACATTTTGGGTCAACTTGAGAGATATTTATATCGGAATCATTTTTATCAAATTAGCCTTGAAACATTGAATAATAAATAAGGTCATATGTACCTTGACGGTCTTGCCAATTTCCTCTATACATATGTAAGAGTGTACCAAAAGGGGGTTTAATTCTTGTAATTATTCAAGTTCACTTCAGATCAACTTCATTTATAATAAAACTTTATCTTTATAGCCTTCATTGATGCCTAAAAGTGAACATTGAAACTTCTCAGTTCAATGACTACATCTTTAAAAACACAGGTGAATTGATAAGGACGTCATTCACATTATTATTTCATGTAAATTTTGTAAGGTTGGTGATGTGTTAACACCAATTTCTCCCTAATCGCACATCATATGAGATAGGACTGACATGTTATTATCCTCACTTTTTTATTTTGCCATGCCTTACTTCACGAGTTGAAAGAAAATGACATCCCACTATTGATTGCTTGCCTTGTATTCATCTTGGCATCTGAAGTCTCGCTAAGGCTTGGATTCGTATCACTGGATTTGTTATTTGATTATCTAATCCCACTGATAATCCAAGTAAATGTAGTGTTACAATCCAGCTATGATAACGTGCACAAACCTAGATAACCAATAATTTAGCAGCACTGTAAGGATAATGTATTAACGAACAATTACATTATCACAATTATAACAATGTACTTTCTTATATAGAAATGGATAGGGTTAAAGGGATTGATGATACTTGTTTTAGGCAGCTATCAAAGTTTGTGAATCTGTTTAGCTTAAATATGCCATAATAACATCTGTCAATAGTGGGCTTCTCTGCATAACTGTATATGGCATTGTAACTGTAATGCACTGTACATTGCAATAATACATTACTTCTGGAGGTACGCCGTATTTTAAGATGAAACTCGAGTCAAAAAGAATAAAGAATGTTCACAGTTTTCCTATTTTATTAATAAGTGTTTAATTGTACATGAATTTAACTGTCAATAAAATAACAGTATTGCAAATAAAATCAACACATGTATACGCAAGATAATTCAGTCCTTAATATCGTATAGATCTAAATCTTATAAACTTTGCATAATTATTATCCGGGACTGCCGATTAATTTCTTTATAAAATATGAAATCATTACCCGTTATAATGTGAAGTAATAACCAAAAGTCTTTATTATTTATTTTAGGTACTTATTGAGTTAATGCAAAGGAATAGCCTAAAGTCTTTGTTTTGTTTTGCCTTAAAATCTAATAGAATTGCCGTTCAGCAGAAAATGTCAATAATGTTACATGCAACTAACCGAAAGTCAAATGAAACCCGTTTTGGGCCAATTTATTATACCAAATCTGAAAAAAACTAACGAAAAATCAATGTTCGAAGTCAAAAAACTGATCATTAAATGTCCGGAAACAATCATTTACATACACAATGAAGGCTGTCAACCAACCGAAAAATCCGAACATTAACAAGTCTAACAAGTTATATGAAAGTTTACAAAAAAAATATGATAAATCAATTCATATTATGTTTATAAAAAAGACTTATACTGTGGAATTCCTATAAGTCTCGTGCTTTTGATGAAAAAATGTTTGGAATTATTTACTTCAGCAGCAATTGCTTTCACAACGTAAGATATACAACCCATATTGCATCAGCAAACAACAACAAAAGTCAAAGTGTATCAAGTAAAAGTACTATAAATGCAACCTCCTAGCTAAATGTATGCTGTTTACAAGAAAATATGCAAATAATGAAATCAATCTATCATCTTAACAATTCTGACAGTATTCAAAGTTGTCAATCCCACAAATAAACAAATAAAAGGGCGACATTTTAACAATGACGATAATTACATACTATTCGAGTCTACAAGTGAGAGTATATCAATATTAGCTGAAGAATATGATGTGATATGCACTGACAAAATTAATATTGGCCTTGATTAATTTCGCTTTTAATCTGCTAGAAGTAAACATAACATCATTTTCTCCAGCTGCAAAAAGTACAAATATATTTTATTTTTCATAGAAATGTTACGTGACTAGGAAAAACAAATTATAATGCTTAACTAACTACGGAGTACATATTAAATAAAACAATACGCATTTATACAGATGCATACTACCTAGTTATTAAACAAAAAGAATAACAAATATCTGACTATATCTTTTAACATAAGTGTCATTAAAGTAAAAAATATATTCCATAATTCTCGATAAACTGCTGTATACTAGAACATTTTTAACCGAAATTAAAGCGACTTTCAGCTTTTCTTAAGGTAAAATATGTTAATTTTAGTTAGATAGTTTCATACAATTGTCAAATCAAAAGAAGTATAATGGTGAAAATGAATTTTGCCGAAACAATAAGGAAATCCCTCGATACCTCTGATATACGATCCGCACTTTGTATGTAAATTAGTAAAGCGGAGATCTTCTATTTTTAGAAACGAACCTCAACGGCGCGCCTTGAATTGCTGTCTTGATGTTGTTTTGAAGAAGGCATTACAGTTATATGATGAACTTTCCAAACTAAAATTATTGAAATACATAGTTTGAAACAACGCATAAGTGTTTTTCCAACAGAAAATAAAAACTGACGGTCGATTTAACTTGCAATATATTAAAATTAATCTCTCCACAGGCTTTGATGTCTTAAAAATCCCAGATTGAATACGATTAATTCCCGATAAAACCATCAAAAGAATCAGAATATTGTAAGGAAACAGATAATTTGTTCATACTTCTTTAAGACATATTCAAACACTGAATACATTCCATATTTTGTCTATAAGCTAAATGTTGTATATTATAAGCAAACCTGTATAACTAAATACTATAACGAAATTAAGAATATTGTCAAACATTTCTGAATGTTCATTATAATTGTGAAATATAGAACATGAAAATTATATATCATCTCAAATGGCAAAATGAAAATTTAAAACGGCGTATTTTTCCAAATACAAATGTAGAAAATGTTTTTTTTTAAATTTTCTGTAAACATGTTACTGTTTATTTTTCCCAATTATAAGCATAGTACTGTTTTGTACTCGCAAAAATACAATACATTCAAACTCAAATTGTCTTTTTATCTAAAAAGAAAAAGAATAATTATATATAATACATGAACTTATTCAACTAAGTTTATGTACAGGCTTTAATTTTTAACAGTTCTATGGGCGATTTTATGTAATATATTATTAAATTGCAAATCTAAGCTGTCAATTATTAACTCTTATGTCAAAAAAATAATTAGACATATTATAACGTCTTTCCTATTTTTCTGTTAACAGTAGGAAGAAAATACATATCAACTTTGGATGTTCATACATTTGACTGATTGTAACATAATGAAAAAGACTCATTATTATAACATGCTATAATCATTCATAACTTATATTTTTCCAAAAACACTTCTTATTTTGATAAACAATTATATCTTCTACTCTCCTTAAAGAGAGAACAACAGACAGTTATCTATAACCCAATTACGTCTTTACAACAACAACAACAAAAAAAGAGAGAAAGTATAAAATGATACAGGTATTATCTTACATTCACCTTTCATTTTTCCAAAAACTAAAGAATAAGCATCAAAACAATTCACTTGTAAAAACATAACCCACATATACCTTTACAAGGAAAGAAAAAAATAGTGATACATACAAAGATCATCAAAAACGGTCAAATAAAAATGTAAAGCGGCGTATTTTTCCAAATAGAAAATGTATGCCATATTGTCAGCATGTGTACATACATGCAACTATTTGTTCACATATTTCTCATTATTTTATCATAACACGGGGATGAATTAATCACGTTTGTTTTTAATTATTCCAAAAATATATGAGTTTATAGAGTATGTACGCAATATAAGACTTAGTTCCAATCTTATGTTCTCACACATTTGCTTTAGAAATGTTATCTACTTATCTTGCCAACTGTTAATAAGAAAGTTGTCATCAGAAATAATGTCTTAAAAATAGAAAGATAGTTATGCAATAATCCTTAGGCTAACATTTTTGTTTAAACCTTACGTTTTCCGGTTTTTCGGCGTATCTTTATCACGCTACGTTTAAGAGAATATTTTTGCCCCCAGCATGTTGACCAGGAGTCTATGACATCTAGGCCCCTTGACACCTCGACCCCTTGACACCTCGACCCCTTAGACATCTCGACCCCTGACACTTAAACCCCTAAGACACTTAGACCCCTTAAATATACCTGACATTTCGACCCCTTAATTAATGTCTTGTTATATTAGGAAAGTCTGTGATTTTCTAAAAACAAAAACAAAGTAATGACTAGGTTAGAACATCATTTTCAGCCGTTTATTTTTCATTTATGTATATTATTTACAAAAACAGTAACACAAATAAATATGCATGCTCACACGTTACATTGAAATAACAATACATAAAATACGCAGACACTATCACTCTCTTTATAAACAGGTATGTAATAACTACAATATTAACAATATATGCACTTTTTGAAACTGTATTTTTGTATTTTTTATTGATAATCTTTTTTTCCAATTAAACATTTCTTTGTCTGCTGGATCAACGGAATTGTCATGATCAGGTGTAACTTGATCTGAAGGAGCGTTACTGCAAATACTACAACTGAACTGTATAAAAAAAATACAACGTTTAAACGTTTAGGTGCCATGTAATAATCGATTCTACTGATACCTGCAAAATACAAATGTTTCATCTTATAACGAAATTTAAAAAAAAGAAGTTATGTTTATTGATAGTACATGTATATACCGTTCTATTGAGCGATAATCGGATTAGTATCGGTCAGCGCCGGTGTTAATCCAATTACGTGTCACTGAATAAACACATACATGTATAACCGATAATTTGATTAATAAACAGCACGCGCCGGTGTTTATCCCATCACGTGTCACTGATTAAACATTTACATGTATGACACGGGAGATGTATGATGATAATTTATTAAAGTCATTTTCATTTTTGTGGTCAAAATATCTATGAAAGTGATTAAATGTGTATCAAAACTAAATCCTTATTATTTAATTATTTTTATTGGATACAGTTTAACCGCTGATTCTAATTTTCACCGTTACGAGTTTTAATTGTTTTAGTAGTGAGTTTGTAAATATCTGACAGACCAAGTCAATAAATATATCTTCAACTATATCTTTTACCTAAAAGTACCGATAGTTTTTTATATTTTATTTTGATAAATATGGTGGGGTCAGCTACCGTATATTATTACGCAGTCAATAATTACATTCCCGTAAACTATTACACACAATTCAATATTTCATTTAGTATAAACGTTCATTGCCAATGTAACTTTATTATGTCTTACAAAATAATAAACTGAAGATTACAAATTTTTAGTTTATATTGATACGACATTCGTATGAATTATAGAAAAATGAAACATTACTCACCAGTGTTGCAGGTTCTGTGTTGCACCTTCTCACAAATATCACATGTAACGGCATGTTGTAAAGGACGAACAGTCTCCTTGCACGCAATACACAAAACGGACATTATCATTTAATAAATAATGATTTAATAAATTAATATGATTATGACAAATATATACGCAAAAAGGTCTGTAATAATATTCCTTCAATTCAGGCAATATTAATAGGAAACACGCTTAATGTTAATAGAACTGAAATGTTGTAGAAAATACTCGTTCTTTGTATATCTTCACAAATTTTAGTAAATGATATTATTAAAAAATGTGTGTAAATAATTAGCAAAGGCTTTCTATAACATCAAAGATAATTTGTAACTTGCGATGTTATATATCTAATAAATAATTGTTACTTAATGCGCTAATGACGAAATTATAAATTAGCACCATGACATTAAACCACGGGACTTAAATCCGTAATTAAACAAATGAAAACTGTGATTTGTTTATTAATCACCAAAATTAGATTTTAAAAAATGTAAATTTTGCAACTGAAATTTCAGAAAAACAAATAAATTTAAACAAAATCTTAAAAATTATGAATTATATAAGTCATACAATATTTTCAAAATATATTTACGGTTCTTTTAAAGTCCAGTATTTAAAATAGGGGTCGAAATGTCTTAGTCAGTAGGGGTCGAAAAATCATCTTACAAGGGGTCTAAGAGTCAAGGGGTCTAAGTGTCATTTTAATATCCTAAGGGGTCGAGAAGTCAAGGGGTCTTGATGCCTTACTTGCGTTGACCAGGTGATACCTTTACCACATTCTGTGTTAGAACCGCCCAAATATAACCCATTTAAATTACAAGCATGACAGTCTCTGTACCACCAGGCTCCATTGTAATCAACGGCACACTTTCCGCTACCTGTTTCGTCATTATCATTGTCGAATGTGGAAAATTTTCAGCCGTTATGATTGCTAAAGGAATCCGCACAGTTTCCATTATATCCCGATACTGACAACCTGTATTCGTCACTTTCGCCATTGACTTTAAAGGTGGAATATTCGGCAAAAGCTGATGCGGGTGAAACATTACCATGTTCAAACGTTTCCATTTCTATATAAAGTTCACTACTAATTGTTGTTAATATATTAATGTATTTAAGACCAAGCCAGTACTCGCCTGTTGTGTTCCCAAATCCATCCACGTATTCATCCCAACCTCTATAGAAGTCCACAGATCCATCTTGGCGCCGCTGTATAACTGTTCATCCACCATTGGACATATCACATCACACGTCAATATTTACACCTTCAGACGGTTGAATAACATACACACCGTCTTCGGCATAGCCCATCTCATAAAGGGATAAACAGTCTAAAACGCTTGGTTGGCGATGTTTTTTCTTGAACAATCCATCGGTTGTCTACGAAAGAGAAAAAATCACAAGATTATAATCAAAATGGTTTGGAACCTTCTTACGTTCCTTAAAATTTACAATTACCTTTGTTCAATATTTCCTTTGATAATTTGATATGGACAGTTCTTTTAAGACTTTAAAGAAAAATAAAGGCATTGGTAAACTTTCAGCCTTATATTAAAGATGAAACCTTAAAATATAAATGTAATGTTTCAAAGGAATATTTAATACGTACCTGTAAATATGACGTCAAAACTCTGGTTTTCTTAAGTCCATATACTAAGCCTGTGTTTTGATCAGAGTTTGCAATATCTTCCGTACTTGCAGATTCTTCTACGTCACAAAGGCACGTTTCATTGTGTTTAATATAGAAAAATGCAACGCATTTCTGTTCTTTACAATGAAATTTACAAGTTGAAAAGGATACCCTTTGAGGTATAGTGACAAGTTTATTCCTTTGTGGTATTTCCGTTACATATGACAAATTATACATAACAGTTTCACCATATTTTGTCCAGTCTTTACTAAAACTGAGTCCAATCAGAGTATTAAGAACGATGTTACTCACAATCCAAAATGCCATTATGAAATTTCTTCCAGTGTCAGAACCAATTTAATATTGATGTTAAAAGTTTTGATTTTTCGTATGCTTAAAGAACAACTTGTCTTAAAACATAGAGATGTCTGTAGTGTTATAAGCCAAACTGATCATTAGAATTCAGATGAATTAGTTTAAATAAAAAATGCGTGAGTGTAAACAATGACGTAAAGCTGTTCCAGTTGCGTTACAGTAGCATCATGTGTAGGAGTTCGCCCGATTTTTGTAATTAACATAAATGAAACTAATTTGTTACTTCACTATTTTTTCATTGTCTATGGACTTGGGAGTATTTGAATGATACTGTGATTGATTGATTATTTATCTTTCTTGCTGAACAATCAGGCATTCCGTCCGCCATGAATATAAATGCACTCATAAATAATATCGTCAAAAATTTTATATTATTGTGCGTTATGCAATCAATCAATTTGACAGCAACATCATTTTAGTCCTTCAAAAAAGCCAGTATCAATAATGAGAACTTAAAATATTTATTCTTGACAAGACTTGAAAAATATCATCACAGATAATTGCATAAATACAGACTGAGACTATTCATTATAACGTATTTCTGAACAATAAATGCATGTTGAATCAGTTTTTTGACTTTGATAAACCAATACCATGATTTTCTGTTTTAAAAATGTTTTATTTCATAATGCAATAATCAAAAAGACACATTTAAGGTATTGAACATGAATGATCATTTGCCAATAGATAAATCAGCCTTATGACCATTCATAGGACAAATAATTTTAATGATCAATTATGGGATAAACTTTCCTTGTGATCATCCACAGGAAAAATCCTCCTAATGATCACTCATAGAATAAATTCCTATGGATGATAATTCATAGAATAAACCCTCCTTTGGTTATCGTAGAATGAACCCTCCTTATCCATATCCATGGGATAAACCCTCTTTGAGATTATTCATACGATAAAGATAAATCTTCCTTATGATCATCAAAAGGATAAACTCTTATTATTATCATCTATAGGATGAATCCCCCTTCTGATTAATCATCATTATAATCATACGTAGGATAAATCCTTATCATGATCATATGATCTTTCATCGTATAAACCCTTTTTATTTTCATCCATGCTCCTGTTCGAACCTGAACTGTTACAAAGTCAAACTCATCAAATTCATTTTGGAGTAATCACATAATTGGAGTAAAGATAGGTCTATGTGTATAATATACTATGTAAATGCTGTTTAAAACAATTAAATAAAGATATTATTATGTTGTAATACAGTTAAAACATAATAATTAGTAACATGTACCGCGGTATTCTATGAATTATCATCCATAGGAATTTATTCTATGAGTGATGTATAAGTTTGTATTTCTATGGTGTGGAAATTTATTATTTTCCTGTAAGTGTATTTTATTTAAAAAAAGTTAAAATCAAAAAAGAGAAAAAATGAATCTCTAAAGAACGCCAAAAACGACAATATTGAAAATGTTGTGTAAGGATCTGACCATCTAGTTCTGAAATGTACTTCCAACAGAACTTATACTCGTAATGAAATCCAAGTGGCATTGTGAAATCCTATAGCTTCATATATTGTTGATTTCTGCAAGAAAAAAATTCACTTACCTGATTGACCAAGGAACACTGTAAAGACATTTTGCAATTTTAGCTGGTAGAAGTGTTACACTAACCTTTATGTATAGCAGAAAACTGACTTACTCTTTATATTTCCTGTGTAGCAGACGTCCAATGACAGACAGCCTTGAAATCTGTCACATCATTTTTTTAAAGAAAAATTCTTATTGTTAATATCAATTTAAGGCAAAGTCACTTCAAGAACATTATTGATGTAAAGTTTATGTTTGTTTAAGGTCAAAAATCTTTAAGTATTTACTACATGTTCCTGTTTATTAACGATTTTCATATGCAGATTTTATATCAGAATTCAATATGGCCCTCATGGAAACTTAAGATTTCATATTCTGAAATCCGGCCGTCCGTCCATTGGAGGATTTCCGGATTTCTGGACTTTCATTGGTGGATTTCAAACATCGAACCTTATAAAAGTCTGAATCAAAGTTATCACTTCGGTCTTGACTTCAAGAAGTGTAAATAAATTTTTTAAACCGTCTAAGTTCAAATTGAATAAATATCTTAAAACGTCATCGGTATCCCAACTTGTAAGTTAGTTTGTATTTAAATCCAATATTACTTACTCACTAGACACTGTCGTTGCCGAAAAAATTGTTATAAACTTAGAAACTGTAAAAGAATGGCATTCAATTTTCCCTTCCTGACATACGTTTACAGTTGCCATTTCAGCACCGTTTTTTCTTCAGGTGCATTATAAGAACTTTTTAAAACACCTGTTTACACTTTATAACAAAAAGAAATTCTTTTCAATCATGGGATGTAATGTGCCGTCAGAACAATGTGCCGTCAGAATAAAAGTTTTAAAATAAATCTGTTTTTTTACTTATTACAAATATTATATCAAAATATGCTATTCATGGTGTTCATTGGATATATGTAATGCTGATACTGTTAGGTAAGGACAGGACGTAAGTACTTTTGCTCATTACGAATACAATGCTTGCCTCACTTCCCTACTCTGTGTTGTATATTTAGGCTCTTTTTAAACATATTTGATTCCGAATGTTGGTATCAAATAGTTTACACAGTATAGATATATGTTCCTTTAAAATACAAAGTACAAAGAAGTACAAATCAGTTAAACATATTTTGCCAAGAGAATAGTAAGCAAGAAGCTCTGGACATCTTAGCAACATTGTAAAAAAAGCAATCTGCGGTAATGAAACCAAAATATCATAAATTAGCAGCCAAAGAGAAATTTAAAAGCACATAAATACCCTTTAAGTGATTAAACAGTGTGCAATTTAGAAATACCGACAACGGTCAAGCCCCCTGGAAAAAAAAAAAAAAAAAAATACAAAAAACCAATAATGGCGTTGAAAAATTCATAATCGAAAAAAAATCTTTTTGAGTTGTACGGGACGCGTTTAGGCCCCCCTTTACCCCCCCCGGAAAAAAAAACCCAAAATTTAAAGGAAATAAAATTAAAAAAAGTTTTTTTCGTTAAAAAAAAAAACCTCAATTTTAAAAAAATTTTTATGTGCTTCAGAGGTTTCCGGGGAAAACAAGTTTTTAAATTTGGGCCCAAAAAAATATTAACTTTATCAATTAAAAAAGGGGAAATAAAAATTTTTATTAGGAAAAAAACCCGAATTTCAAAAAAGGAAAATTTAATCCTTATTAGTGCTTTTTCTTTTTTGGTTTTAAAATTCCAAAATTAAAAGCATATAACTACAACCAAAACGGGCTTTTGTTTTTACTACGGGGAAAAGTAATTTTTTTGAAATATTTGCCAAAAAATTTTGAAAAATTTTTTTAAACAAAACGGGGAACTTATAGAAAAAATGTTTTTCCAAATTGATTTGATTCTTTTTTCAAAACGTTAAAAAATTGTTTTTTTTGTAAATTTTTAATTGAAAATTTTATAATTTCCAAATTTCTAACGTTTTTTTTAATTTACCAAATCCTACTTATTCCATCTGTCGATATGCTTAGAATTTGTAACGGTAAGTTTTGCCAAGATGAGCACTAATAGGATCTTGTTTGATTAGAGCCAATTGAAATCACGCTGCCATTTTCCCTTTCTTTTTGAGTTATTACTTACCACGTATTTAACCGTGACAATATGTAAGGTTGCGGTCTACCTAATTTATTTTATTATGTATTTGCAATAATATTTTCGGTGCTTTTCGCGCAATAGTTCTTTTAGCGCTTGCTTGAAATTCGCAAGTTAATTAACTTGTTACAATGTTTCTGTATCTAATAATCTATATTACCGTGATGAATTTAAAGTAAGTCATTAATATTTGAGAATGGTCTTTTGTTTGAATTAACAGGTGTTAGAAAACGATTATATCGATTTTAAAGGTAGAGTTTCTCATTTATGTCACAAAATACTTTGGCCATTTTAGAAGTGTCAATCGAATAATTAACAAAAATTTCATGATCATTTTTTGATAAGTACTGTTTTAAATTTTTAACAAAAAGTTTAAGCAAATATTAGGAAGGGGTGGTGGGCTGGTAGTTTTCACTCCGGATAAACGGCAGTTAGCCACATTAAATTTACAAGAGCTCCGTTCAGCAACCGCATTTAACTGGACGGCTGTCAAGCAATTTCCCAGTACTACTTGCCTCAATATCGCAAGGAACTGATAACTTATGTACATGTTAGAGCAGAGGTACAGTGCGAATGACCATAGAAATGATTTCATGATCAATCACAAGAAAGATGCACGGAAAACGAACCTGGGTCGCACGATATACAGTTCAACGCTTTTCCTTATTGGGCTAACCGGCACTTTCTACGAAAGTTGACACTGGCACATGCTTTATTGAGTTTTATTTGATAATATGATCTCTTTATCTGCTATATTCAATGTAATTTAAAAGCAAACTCCTGGAGGAATACATAGTATAACCGTTATTCAAATTTGCCTTGTTGGTGTTGTTTTTGGATAATTTTAGCTTTAGATGAATTTAAAGAAACTGCTAGGACTGAAATATTCTTCATTCTTCCGAGAATTTTATACCATTTGATCGAGTGTTGGTCAAAATTGTCAGACCATTTTCAAGAATACATGTAATGCGTTTTTATTGTGCAACGCTTTTTACTAAAAGTATGGCGTTTATTAATATAAACGGCTACTTGTATGGTAACTATATTAATTGTTGTACATATTTTAATTAATAATACAATTTATTCATTTTGGTTGAAATTTGGGTTTCCGAAAGGCAAAAAAGATTTGACTTTTGTACAAGTTTTTTGAAAAAATGCATTAATTTAGACATCCCAACTCCTAGATTATCTTGGGGTCTTTTTGCCACTGTTTTGAATAGAAAATTGCCCTTTAATGTATCAATACTGCACAGGATTCTAAATAAAAAAACAGATCCAAGAATACAGGTAAAATATTTTTATAAATTTTAAATTTGTTATAAAAATATCGTTTTGCAGAACAAAAATTTAAAATTTTTTGCGTTTTAATTCACATGACCTTTTTAAAATGTAATTTTCAATGAATGATTTAACAGGACTTTTTGTGTTTAAATTTAAATCACATATATTGCTGATGTTTTTGTACTGGCGAATGCCTCTTGCTTTTATCTTTTGTATTAAAAAATTTAAAAAAACTGCCCATTACAAATAAAATAGAGAAAATTTTTAAAGTCAAAAATTTTTTGGGTCTTTTAAAACAATTTAAGAAGAAAACTTCAAAAATTATAAATTTTTTTAAAAAAAATTTACACGTGCTGTACTGACTTACATGATGAATATCACCTTCCGTCAATTTAGTACTTTACGTTTAATTGTTCCTCGTAAGATTCCAGTTCCTTTTTCTATAATATCATACTTAACTATAAACTACAAAACTAGGGACGTTGTAAGCTAGCTTCCATTACATTCATTTACATTCCTAATATAAATGCTATCACCTAATCAATATAAAAGTCGGTTTTACAGTACACAATGAAACGTTCTATATATTTATATACATATGTGTATATTATTATATATTTTATGCATTTCGAATAAGCAAAGTGTATATCATGTATCAAGGTTATCCATTATCAAAGGCTATCTTTATAAAAAAGGCATTAAAATTTTATCCAGGAGAGCGATCTTGACGCTTTGAGTATCCATTCCATCGTTTCAATAATTAAAAGATTTAGTTAAAAAAAAAATCAAAAAAAAAAAAAATGTTAATATTATGACTTAAAAAAAGGATATGTTTGTTCTGCCACATGGAAAGTTTTAGATAACAAATGTGAAATTTAATGAGACATTTTAAGAAACGTGAAAAAGGACCAAAAACAAACAAACAAAAAAAACTAAATACCAACAACAACAACGTTGAATGGGATTAAGGTATACAAATAAATGTGCCTCAAGAAAAAAAATTTAACAACTGAAGACCCAATTTCTAGTATTCATGAACAACACTTTTAACGACTTATCGTGTGCGGCCCCAACATCTGTACCCAAGTGACTACCTTTGCCAAACTCTGAGCCCGGCACCTCCCAAGTTTTCAAACCACTTTAAATGGGATTATTGACAGTTTGTATACCACCAACCTCCATGGAACATAACGGCACAATTATCACCACCTCTCAAGTCATTATCATTATCGAATGTAGTGAATCTCACACCGTTATGAGCATTTAAACAATCGAAACAGTTTCCGTAAAATCCTGCAACTGTCAACCTATATTTATCAGTTTCGTCATTAACCTTAAATGTGGAATATTCGGCAAAAGCTGATGCGGGTGATACATTATCATGTTCAAACGTTTCCATTTCTATATAAAGTGCACTCCCAATTGTAGTTAATATGTTTATGTACTTAAGACCAAGCCAGTACTCGCCTGTTGTGTTCCCGAAGCCATTTACATATTCATCCCAATTTCTATAAAAGATTTCAGATCCATCCTGACGGCGTTGAATTACTGTCCATCCACCATTTGACATGTCACACCACACCTCAATATCAACACCTTCCTTCGGTTGAATAACATACACACCGTCTTCAGCATAGCCAAGCTCATATAGGGATAAAACAGTCAGAAACGCCTGGTAGACGATGTATTTTCTTGTTTAACTTTTCGGATGTCTGCAAAAGTAAATTATGGTACAAATATTTATCGTCAGTCATTTTCAATTAAGAAAATATATAAACGAGGATGGGTCAACATGTAGTGTTATATGGTTAAAAAAATAACAAACGAGCAGATATTTTACCATTGTCTATTTCAACACAAAAAATCTCCTATTCCAGAAATTCAAAGTTTTATCCATTTAATCCAATTTTAAATGCGTCAACAAGTCCCTTAAAAAAAAACTTTTAAATAATAAAGGTTTTCCAACTTTTAAATCATTTTAACTTTGTGTAATGACCGCAGATGTTTTTCAGTCTTGAAAGGAAAAAATCACAAGTAAAAAAAAGGTTTTTGGGGAGAAACGAAAGGGCGTTACGGAAAAAGGAAATAATTAAGTGCGAGAGCGTTTAATTGCCCGGAAAGTTTTAAACAAAGTATGCAATTTTTTGAACGTTTTTTCATTTTTTTTAAAGACATCTCTTGAAGACGACCTCTAAAAAAAGGCTTTAACAAAAAATTCCCCAAAATAATAGGTAAATAACTTTTTAAATATTGTCAAACGCTTTTCATGCATGAAAAAAAGAATTTTTTTTCACTGGGGAAAACGACGTAAAAGGCGTAAAAAACTTTTGCCCCCCTTTTAGCTACAGTATCAATAGTGCCCCGGTGATCGCAAGGGGCAAATGAAATCTTTTATTGGGCACGCAAGATATATTTGTAAAATATATTAGGGAAAAGGCTCTTAAAACAATGCTGTCCCCTTATGGCTTAAAAATGCAATGTAATGTTTCGATGACCCCCAAGGGTACTTATTTTTCTCAGTAGTTTAAAAATTTTTCCTTGTGTCCACTTTACTTACTCTTGAAAATCAAGTGTTTTTACTTTTTTTTTAAATATAATTCAAATAAGATATAAATTTGATTATTTACCGCAGTTGTTTTTATTTTATTATCATCGTCATTAATCGTTTTCAAAGTGGTATCTAAGAAATTGATCTGATTCTTAAAAGTTATCATTATTTTAAATATGGTGATTTAAAATGCTTTTAGTAACATAATATTGATTGATGTTTAACTTATTTTGTGAATTTTCCATGGCATGACAAATCAATAACATTGCTGTTTTATATAGATTAATACCTACGCAATGAAAAGCTAAACAAAAAGTACCTGCACATATGATGTCAAAACAGTAGTTTCCCTCACTCCATAAACTAGACCTGTGTTTTCATCAGAACTTGCATATTCTACATTATTTGTATATTCTTCTGAGCCACAAAGACATGTTTTATTGCTCTCGATGTAGATAAATGCAGCGTATTTCCATTCCATACAATGGTATTTACACGCTGGAAAGGATATACCTTGCGACATACTAACAAGGCTATTCCTTTTTTGTATCTCATTTATATATGACAACTTTAACATCACTGTTTCGCTGGAATTTGTCCATTCTTCGCCTAATCCAATCTGTGTTTGCAAAATGACAATACAAATAACCCAAATAAGCTTAATGTCATATTGTACCATTTTCTTTTCTTAAAAATATATTTCCTCTTTCTTTCAAATACCTTTTTTGGCTTCATAAAAATGACAATACAAATCCAGAGATGAATTGCAGAATGGTGTAACTAAATGAAACATATTTGTTTATAACATAAGATGTTTATTACTTGTATGATGCATTGAAAATGAATTTTTGTTTTTTCCATCCAAGGTGAGGATATAAATGATTAAAATAAATGAGTGAACTCAGAAAGAAAGGAGAAATTTCTTTCAGCAACACTAAGCGTGCCATTAGATATGAATTTAGATGACTTCATAAATATGTTATTTCTTACTTTTATATTCGTAGTAAAAACTCATTTAATCAGACTACATTGTTTGTTTTAAATTCTTTTGTTACTAGTAATTGTATAAGTAACTTTCAGGGTACTAATGGAAGCAATAGAGGAATTGAAGGTGTATGCGTTTTCATTAAAATTTATTCAATGTTAATATATTTATAACAATATATTCACAAGAGCTTATGATAATTTCTGGATTTTTTTGTTATTTTATTTTAATAACATCAATGATATGTTTATAATATTTTGTATAATTCACCACATGGCTCTTATTTCTATAAGTTGGTATTCAATTATTTGATAACCACACAACTACTATAAGTGATAAACCTGTATATTGATTATTGCTTGTGACTGTAATGTTAGGACTAAAACCATTCTTGATTTAATCCCCGATTAGGCAAGTAACATGTTAAATAACATTATTGGTGATGTGCCATATTAAAAATCGTAAAGTAATACTTTGATATTCCTAGGCAACCAATCAAAGGTTGCAAGTATAATCATTATGGCAAACGTTTGGTAAAATTCTGTTGTGCTTTTGATTTTAATTTTTAAATACTCGGTGAATCGATATTATGATGGTTAAGAATGTAATATAACATGTTCCGCGAGCAGATGGTGCTTGTTAGTTGAATATTACATAGTAGCTAAAGTAAATTACTTGTTTGTTAATGGATGTTTCATATTTTTGTATAATGGATAGAGATGAGACTGTCAGGACCACTTTACACCTAAACTGTACATATAAACTCCTATTTGCACTAACGGGTATACAGAGAAATGCATGTATACAATCCATGACAAAGTTTATAGTATCAAGGATAGGTTTAAGTAGAAAGATGAAGGAAACATTCGTTTGTTGAAGTTCGATATGCGATTGTCGACATTACAAATTCGATGTATGTCAGACAATACAAAAACTTCAATGGACTGTTTTTTTTATTTCATAATGTAGTAAAATGAAATAGTCTTTTAAAGTATTTAACCCCTTCTCTTCTTCCATACATAAGGCAATGTCTTTTCGGTTTTACGGAATGTTATTTCGTATTTACAAATATTATTTCGATTTGATAAAATACATTTTTTTCTACACAGCGACATTTCGCTTTTATTAAGCTCTACTATTCGAATTGACAAAAATGTTTCCTAAGTATGAAATCGTCCTTTTTTCTTAGATTGTGACTGCTGCTGACAGCTTGTTTCACTATTTTACACCAATTTGCAGGTGTAACAATAAAACTGTGCATCGACCATGTACTGTGATTGACAAGTGTCAAGTTGTTTATGTAGTACTACGTTATGTTTTCTCCAATTCAGTTTCTAGTTGGTATCACATCCAAATATTATGAGAGATATTCGTGTTATTATACGAAAATTGAAAACTCATTAATAAAGTTCGTCTTTTGACTGGTATAAAAGGCCTGTATTTTCTGCATGAAAACGCTATTGCACACAAAAGAGATACTGTAATTGAATTTTTGAGGGGAAACGGGTGGCCGTTCATAAACTTACACTGTATCCTGAAGACATGGCACTCTGATACCATTTTTTTCCATTTTGTGACTGAACAAAAACACATTTTGCAAGTCATGTTCTTTTGTTAAATTTATTAACCATATTGGATTACATCTCAACCCAGCCTTGTAGTATTCCAATTTATTATTTGAGCACTTTTTTTAAAATTTGCTTTTTATAATTTATTCATTATTTTGTGTTTGACAGGTGTATTGTGGTGTTTTCCAGAGAGGCCTATCTAGTCGATCAAAACAGAATCACACCATGGTACTTTAATAAATTATGCATATGCTTAAACAATAAATGGATGGTGTTTTAAGGTTATGACGTAATTATAAATGTATTTATTTCTATATACTTTTATTTCTTCCTCTGGGAATACTTTGTAATTAAAATTTATAGTTGAATTGTCAATTGTTCTAATGGAGTGTTTGTTTGGCAATCCTTCCATTCGGAAACATGGTGACTTTGTTAATATTGCATATGTTGTATAACAAGAATGAATACAACAGAGCAAAAATAGAAATTTTCGCTGAAATTGTTGCTCTCTAATCCATAACATTCAATTGCTGCTATCCGAGCTAGCCTGAAATAAAACAAACACTGAATTCCGTTCGATATAAACAGGTAAGTCAAACATGACAACTACTTTGACCAGAGAGAAGCCTTAATATTTACTAAAATTACTTCTTAAAGGATACTCAATCTAACTAAACACTACTGTTACAATCAGAATAAAGGCGTAAAAACGCAGTAATAATTACAAGTACGGTGTCAAACATACCTAAACTAATCAAACATGACAACGAAAAACGTTTGTGCCATTGTCTAACTGACCACACACTTGTGCGAAGTTTCTCTCAACATATCACGTTTTTGAGGTACAGACAAACTAAAGACCATAATAATTTGCATACTCATTTGATTGATTGAGCTTGAAACGACATCTAAACTTTGTTATTCTTATGAACGTATTGCATTACGAAATTAAAACGACCCCTTATTGCATAGTACGTATTCTCATTGAATTCAAATATAAATATTCCAAATATAACTTAAAATCATTTCTAATAAGTTTAACAGTTACGACGCAGTATCAGCTTTTCACAAACAGCTCAGTGTTTTGTTGTCGGATTTTCCTAATTCTTTATGTGCGGATAAAGCAACGATTTGTTTGCCGATAGGAATGATTTCGTTACCATCAATATATCCTGGATTCTATGATTTAATTATATGCTAGGAATATTCAAAAATTGTTATAAATCTACATAGCTTAGTTTCTTTTTTGACATAAACATGTTATATATTCATCCCGACTGAATTAATTTGTGTTTCAAGATTAAGAATAGAAAAATGTACACAATGACAATATTTGCACCCACATGTTCTTTTTCTAAGCTAATATCAATTTTTTCTTTCAGTGAAAAACTTTCTGAAATTTACCTGTTATCTTCTTATGGTTGACATTGTGATTTTTTGACTAAGTTTTTTACTTGGTGTAAGATGGTGTACAGTATGTTTTATTTTACTGATAGAAAGTAAATACAACTTTTTGTAATTACTCAGCTATAATAATAAATGAATCCAAATCTTGTTACATCACCATAGTTTGCATAGGTTTGCATTTTATTTAAAGAACTTAGAAATGCTAGCTTCATTTTGGCTGTCTAACAGAGCGCCATGCTTAAAGTTTTTCTTAATATAGATCTTATTGTAAACGTACATTGCTTTATTTATACACATAGCGCAATTCAGATGTTGTAGTTTGAAATCAATTTTAAATCATGGATTTTTAGCAATACTACGAATTCTGGTCTGTCGTATTGGTCAGCATTTTATATACCATTACCTTCCTCTGTTATTTCTGCTGTTGTTGCATATATTTTCCTAAGAGCAAAGAAGATCAATGTGTCAAAAAGATACAGTGCACTAGGTTCTGAATCTACTAGAACAGGTGTTTTATCGACTATACCCACATGAACATTTGTCATATGTTTTTAAAGTCCTTAAAAAAACTTATCAAAGAGCAACATATATCTTGTTCACCACACGTTTGTTGTAGAATCACTATTTGATACGAGAAATACCGAAATTGCATTTCTGAGCTGAATACCATGTTATATCTTAGTTGATATATCTTTCAAACGTTATAAAACAGCAAAAATAAAATTACTTAAAAGTTAAATTAACTGTAAGATTGTGGTGATTATTGACAATGTTATATTTCAGAACTGTTGTTTGAGCTTCCTCACCATGTGCAAGCCCACAAGTCGTGTGACATCAGAAATGATAATGAGTTGAATGGCGGCACACATAAACAAACTCAAACACATTCATATTGTTTGCACTAAACACGGCTTTAATTCGTTTGAAAATGGTTTTAAATAAAAGAAGAAGCTTGGAAAATATAATTTGGAATCGCTTTGATAATGTGTGCCGACATTCAATTACATATCACTTCTGTTGTCACAGGTCACATGGGATGTCCACCCTGCTCATGCATGGGTCTTTTAAGTGTCCAAATGTTTTATTTCTTCTATTTTAATGCAAAGTAGTCATTGGTTTTGTACTTTAAGAAAGGTTTTAAGTTAGGATGCAATCCAGCTAAATAATGGAACGTAAGTGGTTATACTCATGTTCTCGCTCATGTCAGAAATGATACACAAAGCTGTAATTGACGTCTTTGTCCACCAGAGTTATGCTTGATTGTTGCCATTTGACCATTACAGGGTCGGTGTTACTAAAAGCATTACAACACCAATAACAACAACCATGCTATATGTAAAAGAAGGTTTCCGATTATCAGCTAATTAAAAAAATCAATCTCATTTAAAATCGTTTCTGTTTTCAAACAAACAAGCCAGACAATTAGTTGTTCCGAATTCTATTTGAATTCTAGTAAGGTATGAATGTGTAATATCAATTATTTAATTTGTTCATTGGCAAGCCAATGTTTCAAATCTTTCTGCAAAAGCCTTTTTATTGTTACTACAGTTCATTACATTACTT